CTAGCACCTAGGGCAGCAGCCTCACCAGGACCTAGAGCAGCAGACGCACTAGCACCTAGAGCTGCAGCCCCACTGGTCCCAATGCCCGGGTCGGGCGGTACACTCAGGTAACAGTCACCCTCAGCACTAATAGTCAATGCATACATAGCAGCAAGGATAGCATCATAATTAAGAGCAAAGATATCAATCCCCTTCCTAAGCAGATCAGCCCAGCGGGGCAGCTCAGAGGCGTCAGGGAACTGCTCGCGCCAGGCGTCGTCAAGGCGAAAGAAGCAGCGCTGCGCCGTGTGAAACTTCCCACAAGTCTGGCCAGTGCGGTCACCTGTGCGGATGACATACGGGCAGGTACCCCCTCCCCCAGACCCCCCACGCTGAGAGTACCACTCACGGAGTTGCTGGGGCGAGGGAGTCTCGCTGGGGCGCTGCTGCTGCTGCCTCTGGCCACCGCCAAACCCCCCACGCTGCACCGCTCCACCGCGCCGGCCACCCGCTCCACCGCCGCCACCACTGCCACCACCACCTCCACCACCCCCTCCACCGCCGCCGCCGCCACCACCCCCTGTGCCGCCGCTGACCCCCCCACCACCCGCGCCACTCCCACTCCCGCCACCACCCCCGCCCCCCCCTCCTCCTCCACCGCCGCTGCCCCCACCTCCACCTCCACCACCCCTGCCCCCCTTGCCCCTGCCGCCCTTGCGTCTCCCACTAGGAGCAGACACGGCCCCGACCCCCTCAGCTCCGAGGTAGTCGACAGCAGCAGCAGATGCAATGGAGGGGAGGAGGGGGGAGGGGGAGCACCCCTCAAAGAAGGGGGTGCGGGGGTCACCACGAGAGGCACCTACAGCTACAATGCTCTTCTCAGCTGCTAGGAGCTCCTTCTCGAGGAGGTCGACAGTGAGATCAGTGGGGGAGAGGGCGAGAAACTGGTCCCTGACAGTGCGAAGGGAGTCAGGGAGGCGGGTGACAAGGTGGTACAGTGTGAGGTACATCGGGGGGGGGTTCTTGGCGAGGAAATCGGGGGGGAGCGCGGCACGGTAACGGAGGTCACTGGTACGGAGGTGGGTGATGAGGTCAGCTACAGTGGCAAAGGCGGACAGGTCGGGGAAGAGGTAGGGCAGTGAGAGATGGCCTATAGCAGCAGTGGCAGGGGAGGAGTAGCGCGCGACTACTGCGTCGTACAGCTCCTTGGCGGTCTTATGCTGTCCGAAGTGCTCGCGCTCATCTAACGGTAGGTGACTGCGAACGGCTAGGCGAGCGTGAGCATCACGGGTCTGCCACTGGGAGCGAGCAGTGCTGTCAGCAGTAGCGGGAGGTGCGGGAGCAGCGCCGGGCGTGTGGTCATAGAGGGAAACATCGTCCTTGGCAGTGATCTAAAGGTACAGGTGCAGGTCATCAAGCCAGACATCGAACTTAATCGGGCGGCCCTCGGCGTCAAAGGTGAGAACAGTGGGACTGGCCATAGTGGCAGTAGCAGGTAGCAGTAGTAGCAGTAGCAGCAGTAGCAGTAGCAACTGCAGTAGCAGAAGCAACAGTAGTAGCAGTAGGAGCAGGTAGGGCGGCGCGACTCGGTCAGGGCGGCGCGGCTCGGGCGGCGCGACTCGGGCGGCGTGGCTCGGGTGGGTAGGGCGGCGCGACGCCGGGCCTATGCTCGGTGCGCGGCGGCGCCTAGGGTGCGGCTGCGCGCGGGCCGCGGCTGTGTCTAGCGGCGGCTAAGCGCGCGGGCCGCGGCTGCGTTCTAGCGCGGGCTGCAGCAGCCGGCGCGCGATCGCCGCGGGGCCTACGGGCGGGCGGCTGTGGGTCGCGCGTCGGCCTAGGGGCTAGCGGGGCCTACGGGCGACGGCCTGCTGGGGCTCGCGAGAAAAAATCGAGCCGCCCTAGGCGGCGGTTTTCCTACGCGCGCTAAAACGGCGGGGCCGCGCTCGGGCTGCTAGCGGGCTGCACACGGGCAGCGTGAGAGGAGAGCGCACGAGGGCGCACGAGAGGAGAGGCGCATGAGGGCGCTAAAAAAGGGGCGCACGAGGGCACCACTAGCGGAACGGTGGGCCCTTAGGTCTAGAACCTATAGCTCTTAATACCATGTCAGAAACAAGAAGTGTGTGAACTATGAAAAGTTGGAGTACAAGTAGCAAACCCTAGTTTTGTGTACCCCCTAAAGGCTAACCCACTATAGCCTACACAACAACAACACATACAGTGTTTGACACCTTTCTCGCCTGGTTTCATTTCGACCGTTGTCAGTTGCGCCATTAACCGACTTTGATTTACGCTGTCTGTTGCTTGATACAGGCTCTTCAAGTGGTTGTACGCGAGCTCCGCGGAGTTGCCGTAACCCCGGTAAGACCGTATGTTCTGCTGTTGAGTTGGGGTGATGTTCCTCAGTAGAATCGTGTACGCCATCATCGACTGATAGGTGTACTGCTGCTTCTCATACTGTGTGCCGTTCGTTGGATATGGCAGGGACCCGTCGAAGAAGCCAAGTATCTGCGCGCCTTCCATCATTAATTCGAATTCAAACGACCAGGTGAAGAAATCCTTTCCATCGAAAGGCCTTGACGTCTGCATCTTCAGAACGTGCGCGAACTGCGACTGCACTTGTAGTGCGTCCAGTGACTTTTCTTGTCCAGGTGAAGGCTGCGGGTGTGGCATAAAGCTGATGGACCCGCGCTCGTACGGATCAAAGGTAGGCTGCTACTGTTGATTTCCTCGTGCGTATGATGAGCCGTCGAGACTCATGGGAGTTGCTCCGTTGTTGTTACTGTTGTGTGACTGCGCAGGTGCCGATTGCTGGTGTTGCTCGTAGAAGGACATGAAGGAGAAAAATTTCTCCATCATGCTCTGGTTGAAGTCTGCAGGTTGATTCGTAGGAGTCTCGGTGGATGTTGCCCTGGGTCTTGTTGCTGTGCCCTCCTCTGTCTGTAGGCCAGAGGCAGGAGGTGGAGTAGGAGTAGTGCCCTGGGAGCCGTTGGAGGTGCTCCTTTCTTTTTGTGTAGCCATGCCTGTTGATGTTGTCGGTATTTTTGTAAAAGTTGAATTCTCCCTGACTGCTCTCATACCATGATGGGCTGAGAAAAGCCCTTAAGATCTTTACAGGGATGAACTCTGGGTAGGACTGTAATAGCGGAAGCGTTTTAATGAAAGATTGTGAACCACCTTGCGCTAGTATGTGAGGGCAAAGTAAGTTGATTAAAACAAAGAGATACAAGATTATATATATAAGAGTACAAGGAATACGAAGAGATACGGTTGTAACTACTTTTACTGTTGCTGTTGCGGTTCGATACAGTGACGACTCGGGCAACTGCTCTGTAGCGAGTCAGTTGTGTGTCCTTGCTGTCGCGCTGTACTTGTCAGGTCAAATGTCGCTGACCTTTGACTTTCGCGTAACCTCCAGCAGTTACTTCAACCTCCGAGGGTTGACTCGCTGGTGCCTCGATATGCTTTGCTTCGCTTGTGCCTTGGTGTTTCGACACGACAGAGGCGCTTAAGACCGATTGTTTCCAACAAAACGAACCTAGCTAGTAGATCCAAGGATCGTAGCATTACTAGCATTTCAATCGAATTAGCTGCAACCATTCAAAAAAGCGTAGCAGAATGGGTTGCAGCTCTTGAAAGCGATATAAACAAATGAAAGCAAAACGACATATTGCTATGTGGGAACAGGCTTGAAAACGGAATAAATGAATAGAGGGATGCACTCCAGGGCTCACTTTATCAAAAAAATTTGGTCTGAATTTCTGGATTTTGAACACATTATTACTGGTTCATCTGATGTCGTCCAGTCAGTAGAATATGGAGCAGTGAAAACTGAGGTTTCCAGTTCGAATCCTGTGGTCTGCTTGTTCGAGAGTTTTGCCTTCAGTCGAAAAAGACTCGATATCTGCAATCTCAGACGAACTGTATAAGGTTGTCTGAGAAATCAGATGAATAGAAAAAGCTTCTCTAAAAAAATCATTACATAGTTGTTTTTATCATATTTGAGAGTACATTGCTTGCTAGCTTTATATCTTCTCAGACAAGTATTTAGGATTCGTCTGAAAAGCTAGACAAGGTTACAGTTTTCGTCTGACAATCAGACAAGGAGCCAGGACCCGGTCTTGACATCAGACGGGTCATTTTACTAAAGTTAGCCCTGATGCACGCTTATCAACGACCTGAATGCTACCACCAGATGCGCTGAAGTAGGTAAATGACTACGGTATAATAAGAGCTTAGATGTTAACATCAGCTAATTAAGTTCTAGGTGGCATCTTAGTTTCCTGACCTGAGTAGCGGGAGGCAAGGCTCCAGTCGCGAGAGGAAGGGAGGAAGAGGAAAATGAAAACGAAACCCTAGATCAGTTCACGCGCAATGTAAGATGAATTTATATTTTTAGCAAGTTTTTAGCTCACCTCGTGTAGCGCAGTCGATCGAAGTGAGTCATAATAGCGGAAGCTCGCAGGTTGGATCCTTTGTGCAGCCATTTTTGAAACTTCAACTGAAAAGGCATTCCTTTAGGAGTTTTAACATTTCATATAAGATGAAACCAACCAAACCAAATACTAATATTTTGCAAAACAGCTTCGCAACCCTAAGACGATTTCGTCGCCTTTTGTTATTTTTCCGAGCGGTGCAAAAGCTTCATTTTCTTACACGTTATTGGTTCATTGTTCTGCTGATCGAAAAATGATAGTTTCAGACAATGATTAACATCAAAATTAAGAAAGAACAAGCTAACTCTGATTAGCATTCCGTTGAAGCCGAACAAGCTTACAGAGGCTGACTTCTGGGAAATCCCAATAACTAAGTCTATTTTACTGTCAAAGGGCTCAGCATGCATGACAAAACGGTACATGTACAACAAAACTGCATTTGGAGAAGGGGACTGACATTCGTGTTGCATCCACCAGGAGGATCACATGATCCATGTCTTGGTGTTGGTGACTTGTGCACTCCCATCTTTGACTAGGGCAACAGAGAATCGTATTGTTCTAAACCAGAGGACTACATCCGAATCTTATCCATTACTCGTCTTGCATTGCAAGCTCCAGAGCATAATCATCACGCTCGATAGGACCTCGTGCAAAATACTTGCCAAACTGCTGCCAGTACACTTCATCCTCGTCCTGTGTCTCCACCTCAAGGTCAGAAAGGGGAATCCCCACACACAGCAGTGCATAACCCTTTTCCTTGAGCTCTTGCGAAATACCGAGCGCGCGTGGTTGAACCAGCTCGACTGAAATCACCCGGACAGCGCAGGCTGTGCAGCAGCCATGCCGGCATGCGAAAGGAAGCTTAATGCCTTCCTCCTCCGCGGTTTGAAGAATGTATTGATCCTGCATCATGAAGAAAGGCATCGAAGGGACCAAGGTAGGTGAAAACGTTAAATGAGGGGTAGGGTGGAATCTGACAGTCGAGAGCACACTGGTAGAGAGCTCAGAGCGTTGAGGCAGTTTCAGCAGTGCGTTATTCCGCTGTTGGCCCCAAGAAGCAGCTTAATGGATACAATACTTACGCCACGTATCGACTAGTTTCGTACGAAACGCGTGAGCTGGCTGGTATTCAAGATGCCATCTCATGTTACTGAGAATGATAGAGATATCGATTCAATGTTGTCATCGCTGTCATTGAACATTATTAACACCGAAAAGTGAACGTGCTTATTTGCGGGCGTCTGCTAACCAACCTGCTGCCTTTGCCGCGTAAAAACATAACCAACGCCCGAGGGACCTAGGTCAAGCTATAGGCACAATGGGATGAAGGTTCTCGCTAGTTCGTTTTTCACTCCAGTTTACAACATCCAGCGGATGGCCCAATCAGTAACCTGCATATTTTTCCATACATCCATGATCATGTCCTACTACGCGTCATCGAGTCTTACCTGAGGCACGTCGACCGTACACGTGACTCCTCGTTCCCGGTCGTGCACCGTCACCGTGTGCACCGGAACCTCCTCGTACTCTCCGTCAACCATTCCCTCCAGCTCGTCCAGTTCTGCCGTAAACGTGTCGATCGCCGTCAGCTCCGACGCGCGCATCGGCGTTGACAATGGTCTTCTGCTGGATGCCGTCTGTCTCCTCGAGGGAAATGCGCCGGTGTGAGCGACTACGGCGGTGAGTGTGCGAGATTGGGGAGCGGAGATGGGAGCTGCTGCAGGCAGCTTCAGGAGAGCTCCCTGCATGGATGAGGAAAGTAGGCCGGCCATTTTTGGAAGACCGCGCAGTCGAAGCAAATCCGGAGCAGAGAGAAGGCGATATATATTCGGGGTACGTGAAGAATGACAAACACGATTCCCAGCGCGAAGCAGGAAGGAAGTACACGTAATAATCTGATGACAAGCCAGCGACAGCTGGTTTTCTAGCAAATTCGAGCTTTGTTCCGCGAAGAAAGAGCATGGGGGAGCAGAAGAACAAGGGTTGTGCGGAAGTGGTGAAAAAACGGTTGACGACGTTATAAGACGGTTGAAGGTGTTTTGATGAAGGGACTTTAGATGGAGGGGTATGACGAGGGCATTTTCGAGTAGTGCTGGCCAATCAGGTGTTGAGCTTATGGAAGAATCCATCGCCCAGGTCTGCGCTGGACGGTAGAACATCTTCTTGGCGACCGGGATTGTGCCACGTGGAAGGTTACGTCAGGATACTTCCAATGCTGTGTCAACTTACCAGACATTGAGATAACAATAGAGGAAAGCACCAGAGAAAAGCACTACTTAGAGAAATATTATACTACAAATAATATGACTATTGATTATACATGTTAACTTCAGCTCATATGTTGCAACTTCCCTATTTCCCCATCCCTGTACCAGTCCAAAAGCGAGTCCCTCCCTCCCGTTTTCCCAACCCGTTTAGCCAAAGCGAACATTACAGCGCTGAACGCATCATACTGCGCAAGCAATCTAGTCACCTTCATCTGGGCCCCCTCAGGCAGAAAATCAACCGGATTGAACTGCGGCGCGGACCAGATGAAGAGCGGCCATAGCTGCTGCAGGCGCTTCTGCTTGAGTTCAATGTCTTCTGGCGGGATTGCCTGCAGCCGTTCGTGCAGCTGGGGAATGTCTCGAATGTTGAGTCGGTATGAGACTTGACTCCAGTCCACTCCGTCTCCTTCGAAGGGAAGCAGCACATCCGGCTGTTGGGATGGTAGGTCGGTTGGTTGATTAAAATAAAAAAAAGAAAAATAAATCATGAGGCCCTTCTTCCACTCACACTTACAAGACTGATACCTGTGACCCAAATGAAGAACACAGCTTTCACCTGAAGAACAAGACTGAATGACAACAATGGCCCACCTGAGCGACAACAGAGACCCAACTGAACGACAACAGAAGCCCACCTGAATGACAACGGAGACCCACCTGAACAATACCAGAGACCCTCCTGAACAACACCAGAGACCCACCTGAAGGACCACGGGCACGCAACCCGCAATCACGGCCATGGCGAGCGACGCATGCCAGCCGTGGCCCGCGGTGGCAAGGCAGAAGATGCTGTGCTCCATGCCACCATACGCCAGCTCCTCGCCGCCCTCCGGTACCACCTCCACCTTAAAGCCCGTCTCGCCGTCCCGCCCCGCGTACAGCTCAAACACCCGCTGCCGCACGCCAAAGCTGAACGGCGGCTCCCCTTGCTCCTTCCTCCCTGCCTGCACCTGCTGCTGCTCCTTGTTGTCTCCCTGCCGCTGCTCCCCCTGCTCCTGCGGGTGTGCCTCCTCGTCCCAGGTGCTGCTGCCGTCGCTCACATTCAGCCCTCGTACGAACAAAAGGTACTGTCGTTCCCTCCCACCCTGCCCCTGCCCACCATTCCCCTCCTCCTGCTGCTTCTGCCCCTGCTGCTGCACCTCTCCCTCCCCATCCGCACCTCCCTCCCTCACCAGCGCAGGCAGCCCTCCAGCCTCCCTCACCATACTCGCATTCTGCAGGAACCTCAGATGCGCCGAGGGCGGAATCACTATGTCCTGCCCGGGCCGGAAGCACGGGCCTCCGTCTGGCGTCCCGAGCATGTTGCAAGTGTACCCCCATGGAGTGAGGGTGATTGCGGAAGCTAGCCGCGGGTCCTCGAGCCCGTAGAGCTGCAGGGCGCACTTGCCGTACTCCTCGCTCACCAGGAAAATGTGGTCTGCCCCGCCCTTGGCGTCCCAGAAGGGGCCGAGCGAGCGGATGAAGGAAATGGTCTCTGAGATGAGCCGCTGCTTGCCACTGTCTCGGTTGCTGTTGGGGGTTGGGGAAGGAGGAGCAGAGGGAGGAGGAGGAGGGGCCAGGAAGGGCAAGGAGAGGGCACAGGGCGGGAGGGGCAGGAAGATCGGAAGGGAAAGGACAGAAGGGTTAGGGTAGCAGGGCGAATTTGTTGTACTCCTAGCTGCGGAGAGGCACATAGAAGAATGTCAGCTTCAAGAGGATTGATGGAGCGGTGGTGAGGTGACTGGCGAGCAGCCCGAGAGGCTCTATCTGTAACACCGCCTAGCATTTAGCTCCACTGCACCAACCGGATGAGGAGAGGCACGTAGAAGAAGTCAGCTCCACGCGGGTCGATGGTGCGGTGGCGGCTGGCCAGAAGTCTCTCTCCCAGAACCAGTGGGCCTCTACCGGTATACAGCACCTAGCACCTAGAGCCACCCACCAGCACCTACCGGATGAGGAGAGGCACGTAGAAGAAGTCCGCTTCCCGCGGGTCGATGGTGCGGTGGCGGCTGGCCAGCAGGCGCTCCCAGGACCTGAGGGCCTCTGCCAGTGCACACCACTTATCACCTCAAGCCACCACACTTAACACCTAGAGCTAGTGCACCCAGCAGCACGCCGAACACATCACGTACCGGATGAGCAGAGGCACGTAGAAGTAATCAGCTTCACGCGGGTCGATGGTGCGGTGGCGGCTGGCGAGTAGCCGCTCCCAGAACCAGAGGGCTTCGGGGTGGTCGATGTAGGGCGAGTGCTGCATCTGCCATGAGTTGAACTGCGGAGGCAACTCGTACACATACACCCTCAGGGGCTTCCCCGCTGCTGCTGCTCCTGCTGCAGCTTTCACTCCTCCTGCTGCCATTGCTGCTGCTGCCCCTCCTCCGCCTGCTATTGCTGCTGCTGTTCCTCCTTCTGCTACTGCTGCTGTTTGTCCTGCGTCGTTCTGCTGCTGCTGCTGCTGCTGCTGCTGCTCTTGCGCTGGTTGTGGCTGTGGGCTGAGGGAGGCTGCTGGCTGGATCTCTCCGCCTGCTGATGCTGCTGGTGATGCTGTGAACGTGTCACTCTCTGGAATGTCGGCCCAGGGAAAGGGCGACCCGGGGAGCCTCCTGATTGGTGGGCGGGGAAGGTGGAGGATGGGAAAGAGGAGTTGGCGATGGTGAGAAAAGGTTTCCTTTTCGCCTTATTGTGATAAGAGTGAGCAGATGGCAAAAAAAGAGCACACACAAGGTGTAACCCCCCCCCCCCCCCCCCCCCCCCACCCACCTCAGACGCAGCTCCTCATTGTAATAGAGCGAGCAGTCGGCAACAAAGAAGCCGGCCTGGCACTGACACACAGACAGTACCGACTAGCACACACGGGCTGCAACTGAAGCAAACTCTTTTTCCATCCCTCTCAACCTTCCCAGACCTCTCACCTCAGACGCAGCTCCTCATTATAGTAGAGCGAGCAGTCGGCACCAAAGAAGCCCGCCTGGCATTGACACACGCCCCCCTCGCAGTCGCCCCGCTGCGAGCAGTCGTTGAGACACGCCACTGAGAAGCTCTCGTCCTCACATGCACTGCCGTCGTGGTACCAAGGACACCTGGTTGCGAAGGGTTGTGGATGGGTGTGGAGGGGTTTAAAGGGGTTCTGCGTGGTTTTAAGGGGTGTGGAGGGTTGTGGAGGAGCGTGGAGATGTGTGGGGCGATGGGGCCCACCCACCCACATGTGTAAGTGAGTTGAGACACGCCACTGAGAAGCTCTCGTCCTCGCACGCACTGCCGTCGTGGTACCAGGGACACCTGGCGGGGTTTGGAGGGGTGCAGAGGGGTGTAGAAGACAGACAGGCGAGTGAGTTGAGGCACGCTACCGAGAAGCTCTCGTCCTCACATGCACTGCCGTCGTGGTACCAGGGGCACCTGAGGAAGGGGTGTGGAGGGGTGTTGAAGGGTTTTGAGGGGTGTGGAGGTGTGTGGCCCACATGTGTGAGTGAGTTGAGACACGCCACTGAGAAGCTCTCATCCTCACATGCACTGCCGTCATGGTACCAGGGGCACCTGGGGAAGGGGTGTGGAGGGGTGCGGAGGAGTGTGGAGGTGTGTGACCCACATGTGCAAGTGAGTTCTTCCAAGCACGCAGTTGAGTAGCTCTCGCCCTCACACGAGCCTGCAAAGTGACCCACCCCATCCCGTCCTCCCCTCTTCCCGCCCCCTCCTCTCTTCCCCCCCTTTCCCCCTCCCTCCTTCGTACCTGCACTCCCAGTAGGTGGCATCGCAGAGCCCACGTCCAGAGCAATAGTTGGGGCAGTTGTTGAGCGGAACAAGCCATGGGAAGGGGTGCGGCGGGAGGGGCGTGGAGGGGAACATCGTACACATACTACTTTCCTGTCCTGTGCCCCGCCCCCTCCCTCCTTCGTACCTGCACTCCCAGTAGGTGGCATCGCAGAGCCCACGTCCCGAGCAGTAATTGGGGCAGTTGTTGAGGGGAACAAGCCATGGGAAGGGGTGCGGTGGGAGGGGCGTGGAGGGGAACAGCAGTGGCGATGCCGTAACAGCCGCTGCAGCTGCTGCAGCAGCTGCTGCCTGTGATGCTTTTGATGATGCCTGGTTGCTGGACGCGCCGTTGCTGCTGCTGCTGTGGGTGTCGACGGGTGTGCTTATACTGAAGGGTTCTCGCGGCCCAGTTTCAGTGCCGTTGCCGTCCGTCTGCAGGCGCAGTGGCATGCGCGTTATGATGGCCCCGATCGTTCGCTCCTTCCAAAAGGTGCCTGAGGAGGTGAGAGAGGGGGGAGAGAGGGATGGCAGAGGGGACGAAAAACCGTTAAAGGTAGAGCTAGGATTTTGGCAGAAAAGCGTATCATTATTCGTGGCAGGAAGCAGCGCTCACACTCGAGCGCACATTCACATCTGGATCCATTCAACTCGCCTCATTATGCATCATCCTGCCTTGAGGCATTACCATCGCATCACCATCTCATTACCCTTCAAACATACCGTTATTAGGGAAGCAGTACTAGTCGTGGGGCAGGAAGAAGCGATCGCACTCGAGCGCACAATCACTCTTTAAGTCCACTCGAGTCGCCTCCTCATGCATCATCCTTGCGCACCATCATCACGCCTCACTCACACATACCATTATTAGGGAAGCAGTATTCGTCATGGGGCAGAAAGAAGCGCTCGCACTCGAGCGCACAATCACTCTTTAAGTCCACTCGAGTCGCCTCCTCATGCATCATCCTTGCGCACCATCATCACGCCTCACTCACACATACCATTATTAGGGAAGCAGTATTCGTCATGGGGCAGAAAGAAGCGCTCGCACTCGAGCGCACAATCACTCTTTAAGTCCACTTGAGTCGCCTCCTCATGCATCATCCTTGCGCACCATCATCACGCCTCACTCACACATACCATTATTAGGGAAGCAGTATTCGTCATGGGGCAGAAAGAAGCGCTCGCACTCGAGCGCACGGTCACATTTGGAGTCCACTCAAGTCGCCTCATTATGCATAAATATTTCCTTGGCGCGACACCTTCACAACACCCCTCCCCTCGTGCGTACCGTTATTGGGGAAGCAGTATTCGTCATGGGGCAGAAAGAAGCGCTCGCACTCGAGCGCACAGTCACAGGAAGAGGGCAGGAAGCACGGCATCTCCACTCCCCACGCGTACCGGCACGAGGGTAACCCCAACTCCGTGCAGTCCACCCCCGTGTACCCGGGTAAACAGTCGCATCTACCCGCCTCCTCGTTGCAGGAGCCGTGGCGGGAGCAGGCGGGCGGGCAGCGCGAGGGGAGGAAGGATAGGCCGTCGGGGGGAGGGGGGATGACGGAGAAAGGGGAGTGGAAGCGCTTGGGCCATTTTGGGAGGGGCGCGAGAAGGAGGAAGAGGGAGAAGAGGATGAGAGCGAGTAGGAGCTTCGGAAGGGAGATGGAACGAGGGGAGCAGGAGAAGGGGAGGTGGAAGGGGAGGCGGAAGGGGAGGGGGAAGGGGAGGCGGAAGGGGAGGGAGGAGGGGGAGGAGTGAGAGGGTCGCGAGGGGAAGGAGGAGAGGGAAGCGGGATGGAAGGCAGCGCGAGGGGAGGAGGTGAAGGGCCAGAGTAACCGTGAGTAGGAGGGGGACCAGGAGGGGAATGAGGGGAGCGAGAAGGAGGGGGATTTGGAAGGGGTTGCAAAGAACGGCCGCGAACGGAAGGTGGCGGCCGGGCGAGCGGTTGACGAGGTGGCGAAAGAGGATCCGATGTTCAGGCTGGGCGGGTTACCACTCGGCTTCATCGCTCGACTACCCGCGCCGCGGGGAGTTCGGAGTGGGGTTCCGGGGGGGGGTTTGGGGGAAGTGGGGGCGCGGAGAGGGGAGTCCGAAGTGAGTGATGGGGGTTCGGAGTGGTAAGTGGGGAGGGCGGGGAGGCGAACCGGCCGACGAGTGGAAGAGAGACCGGATCTGGCTGTAGCGAGTGCAGGCGTCAAGCTCCGTGGATAACTACGCGCGAGTTCCTTTGAGAATTCTCAAAAAACACTCACGGAAATTGTGATGGAATGAGGCCGGATGATCCCCTCACCCTTGTCCGAAAACCGCGCTGCAGACGGAAAGGAGATTTGCCTATACGAGATTCTTGAGAATTCTGAAGAAAATTCGCCTTCTTTCGCTCGCCGATCGAGTTATAGGAGGAAATGCTTTGCGGGCTGTGAGGTTTGTTGTTAAGCAGCCTCAGACGCCGGCCAGCCGTGCACGTCGCTAATTCTTCGAGACGTCGCGAAAAAGGACTAACGGCGATTCTCCTCCGTCGTTTCTAGAGGCTACGTAAATGCCATCCGTCGATCGTGCGTCCTGCACGCTGAGGCAATTATGACGTCGCCCCACGCGTACCTAAGAAAACCACAGCGAGAAACAAGAATCTTTAAACAAAAGTGCCAGGACTGAAATGACGTGAAAAGGGGAGCCGTTGTGTGCTTCGACGTTGCTTGCTCTCCTTCGAGTCGCTGCTTGTCCCCGACGCCTACTCGCGCACACTGCTCAGCAGTGTGACGCGATTACCAAATGACGTCAGTACCCGGCAGCGATAGGGAATTATATACATGTCGGATATCCGCTGTTTCAGCCGCAGAAGCTAATTTGTCGACGTAGAAGCAGCAGCAGAAACTAATTTAGTCGCGACAAGGCATTGCATCTTGTTTTGTACCGTTGCATGAGGGACTCGAAAGGAGGGTGGATTTGATGCTCAAGCCTACCGACAGGGCCATAAAAATTACCTTGAGTGTTCCGGAAAATGCGTAGATGCGGCAGTGTGTGACTGTATCGGTGAAAGTGAAAAGGATGGCAAGATCGGTGTGGAGGTGGTGCCCGTCACTCGATTGTGTATGTTTCGATTCATCAATAAAAGAGTCGGCTCTACATTCAAAGTACAAGGAATCTAGGTACAGTATGAGTAAGATTTATACCAATCTGCAACTTACAACGTACACAATCTACAACTAATATGCCTGGACTGAAGGTGCTTTCCCTCGCTACTCTTCTCTCAGTTCACTCTGACGCAGCGCCAATCGCGTCGAATAGTCGGAGACATTTTAGGACTCGAAGTGATTCAGTTGCGAATTAGGACGCGGATCTTAGGCAAGTAAATGCAGGGCTGCGGATTGTTAGTTTGATACTTGATTTCACGCAGGTCGCAGTTTCATGTGACTCGCAGCTTCTATCCATTGTCATAACTATTCCCCATCAATAGCTAGTGCACGATCCGAGCTCGCCCTTAGTTTTTGTCTCACTGACTCCCCGTGCATGGTGGTACGCTTCAATAAAACAGCCTCATTATTATTGAAACCTAATGTTTTTCTCGGATACCTGATTACGCCAGTTGAGTGTTGAGCAAGGAAGCCTCGCGATGGCTCCTCCTTCCACGTCATCAGGATTTGTCAGCACCGTCCGATGTAAATATGCGACGGAGCAGCAGGTTCAGCGATGGCGCACGTCGTCGGATCCGATCGCCGCGACGACAGTCGTCGATTCGCCTCTGCGATTCATTTACGAGCTGTGCTGGACGGTGGTGAGTGCTGGACGGTGGTGAGTGCTGGACGGTGGTGAGTGCTGGACGGTGGTGAGTGATAGACTTTCAGACAAGTCAATTAGTATGGCTGACAGCTACGGATCACGTACTCATGCATATCAGTAGCCGCTAAATGCCGTTACGGGGTTTGAGCTCGCGAAACGACTTTCGCGTAATGCTCGTGCTCGTGTAGTACGGTAAATCGATCAACAAACGAGCGTTTTCAAGGATCAGAGCTCGTCAAGCTGACAGTAATCAGCCAGCCAAGCCTCGACAGTTGAAGCTGAGCCGACATTTCGATTCGTTGAGTCGGAGCCGAGTCAACCACCCGATAATGGCGTTTCCCTGCGGCCGCCTTTTGCATTGCATACCCTTTCTCTGCCTAGCCTGCTGTCGCACCGCCTAGGTGATCTCTCCGGCTCAATCCGATTCGTCCGTGGCTGCTCGTCTTGCCGCTGAAAGAGATCAACAAGGCTGAGATTACCAGTGTCATTTGCGACGGTGCCTGTGCTTGGCCTAGATTCCTGAGTAGTTAGAGTAGAGGTTCCTTTTACCGCTTTCTTTTTTGTGCTTACCCACTCCACAGAGTTAGGGTTTCATACCCGACCAATCACCGTCGCTGCGAAGAAAACGACCGTAGTAGTCACCGCATGAACAAATATACCAACCAGGACCGCAGAATACGGGACGTTAGATTGTCGCGAGAGAAACCCTAATTCGTCAGCTGTGGAGTTTCTGCATCCAGAGCACAAACAAATGCTGTCCCGCTTAACCGCCTGTTTTCCCGCCTCCCTTCTCTCCAGGTGCACGGCGACCTGCCACCCGCGCGGATCCCAGCCGCGCTGCAGTCCGCAGGCCTTCCCCTTCCGCCCTCTGCCTCCCTCGACGCGGGCGCAGGAACTGCCGCGGACCAGCGTGCGGCGGATGAGCAGTCCCCGCCTGCCCCAGATGTGCCCTCCCTCCTGGCCGACACTGTGGCTCAGCTGGCGTTCGAGGTACACTACGCTGTAATGTAGAGATATTGACATTAAACACATCTCAACCATGTAAACCCCGCCCCAGATGTGCCCGCCCTTCTGGAGGACACACGGTGGCTCAGCTGGCGTTTGAATTACGTTGAGTTGAACTGGATTGACTCTTGAGGATTCTAACAAGTCAACCCTGCTCAAAGTTGGGATGAAAGTCTCTGCTGTTTGTTCACCTCTGCCAACCAATCCCTTTGTTGTTTCGTTCTAAGGCCTGGTTCCAGAGCTCTGCCAACCAATCCCTTTGTGCATGCTTCCTGCTTGCTTCCTGCTTTGCTTGGCTCACTCACTCACTCACTCACTCACAGGTGTCTGGCCAGACTGACCTGCGTCGACGACTGGTGGAGCTGGTGAGTGCGGCAAAACAGGGAGATGAGATGAAACTGTGAGCGAGATGATGTGAAACTGTGAGATGGCGTGGAAGAGTGAGATGAGATGAAAGGCTGAGATGATTCCACATTCGGAGCTGAAATGTGAGGTAAAGCGGTGGGAGGGAGGAGCTCTGAGTGAGTTGATTATAAGGACAGCAGAGTGTGTCATCACGGCAGAAAATGTGAGCGGGATGAATCTGCGGCAGAGGGTGAATGAAGTGAAATGAAGCTGGAAATAGGAGGGTATTTCCATTGAGGGCGATGGCAGCACTCTCTGTGAAATGGCATAATGTGCATGTGCTCGCGTGTTTCTGAGAGCCATTTTCCCTCCATGCCTATTTCATACCGCACCCCCTCCCGTCTCGTCCCAATTCCATCTTCCTTTTCCCTTCTCTCTCTACAATGCCTCTGCCCTCCGTGTCTCTGTCTACATCAGACCAAGTGGCTGGCGTCCAATGGGGTCGTGACACCTCGCATGCTGCAAGATCGCTGTGAGGCAAGTGCAAGTGCACCCTCGTAGCAGCAGCAGGATACCCTTCGGTTCTTCCACTGGTAGAACAGTCTTTTCTCATTATTGCCCATCCACCTCCGTTCTTAAAGCCCATGTCTTCAAGCGTCATGTTCCAAAGAAGAAAAAGGCGCATGCCCGTCTCAGGAGGCTAGAGAACCAATCTTCACCCACCTTGCCGGCTCGCCCCTCACCTTCCCTCCTCTTTCTACTCCCCCCTCACCTACCCTCCCTCCCCTTGCCACCTCCTCCCCTCCCCCTCCTCCCCCCACCACACTCACTCCTCGCTACCTCGCCGCACCTCCACCTTCTCCATGCCCCCAGGAGGAGCTGCTGTGGGAGGCGGAGCTGATCAAGATGGAGCCCTCGGAGCTCAAGAAGAAATGTGTAAGCCGTCACTGCCAATCCACACCCACGCCCCCCTCTCACCTTCTCCCACCTCTCTCCCCCCCACCCCCTCCACCCTCCTCTCCCGCCCGCTAGCCTGTTCTTTTCCGCCTTCACGTCCATTCCCTGGTTATATGCTTGCTTGCTGTCTCTGCCCTGCTCTGCTCTGCCCTTAATAAATAATGCTCTGCTATGCCCCAATCTTAATCAAACAAGTTGGGTTTTGCATAGGCCTCCTGTGTGCGCCTCTGCCTGCTTTCCTGGTATCTGCCAGGTGCGTGCAAGTGGACCCTCACTCACTTGATGTACTCTACGAGCACGCCCAATTTTGAGTCATTTTAGAAGCTGTCTTTCTTCCGTCTCTGCTCCTCTCTGTTCGCTGCCTGCCTGCCCCGTTCACCTGGCAGGTGCGAGTGAACACACGGCTTGTGTACACACAGACCAAGTTCAACCTGCTCCGAGAGGACTCCGAGGGATATGCAAAACTGGTGAGAGAGAGAAATGGAGAGATTGAAAGATGTATTGTAACGTAATATCCAGGTGACGTTTGAGTCAACTTGAAGACACACAGACCGAGTTCAATCTGCTCGAATGAATGAATGAATGCTCCCCCAACCCCAACCCCACCGCACAATGAGGAGGATGGGAAAAGGGAGGGAGAAATGAGAGGGTGGAGGATCTGATTGATTGACTGCCACATTACTTTGTGAGCGGTGTTTTTATTTGAGGCTTTCAAAAGACTTGAGTCAGCTCGTTCTGTGATTCTACATGTGGTATGTGAAACATCATTCGTGATAATCTACCTCAATGATACGTAATTTCTCGCTCCTTGTTCCATACTACTGGCAGATCACCATACTGAGTCAGAAGGGCCCTCTAGGACTCAACTCACGATCAGCCAGTGCTGTGGTGGATGCTGTAAAGGTGAGTGAGTGGCTGCTATTAGTGGCGGATGTTTAATTTAAAAGTGATTTGCTTTAATTGCTGTTGGATGCAGACACTGCAGACAAAACTCCTGCTTAAGCAACCATTGCTGACTGTTGTGCTCTCACTCGCTCTCACATTGTCCTCTATGCTCCTCTCCTTAGTGGAGAAAGACGCGTCCTGCGTCTAGGACGCTTGCGTCCAGACGCAGCGTCTTAGACGCAGGACGCTAGAGGAGGGCCTTTAGGACGCATGAAAAGACGCATGCCCGGGCAGGGCAAAAAAAACCCCCGGGCAGCCGAAAATTGATGTTATAGGGTATGGGAAGGGGGGGGGAACGACGATGCACACATTTGAGGCAAAATCGTCCCCTTTAAACTTCCAGGGTTTAGGGTTTACAAAGGAGAATTGTCTTGGTAAACCCTCTAGGGTGTTTTTGATGGTCTAAATGGGTTAGGGGGGGTCGACATGATGCGAAATTCACAGTCGCGTCGAAATCGTTGAAGTCAATTTCGCGCTGAGGCAATTTTTTTTTTCCGGTCAGCCCGAAAAAAAAACGGGGTGCGTCCTGCGTCTGGACGCGCGTCCTGCGTCTCTGCGTCTGGACGCTGCGTCCAGACGCAGGACGCAGCAGGACGCGTGCGTCTTTCTCCACTAAGCTCCTCTCCTCTCTCCTCTCCTCTCGCCTCTCCTCTCTCCTCTCCCCCTCTTCTCTTCTGTCTGTCCCCCTTCCCTGCCAGTCACTCATCGGCCTCTTTGACCTGGACCCCAACCGCATGTTCGACATTGTCACATTGTCCCCTACTCCCCCCCCCCCCCCCTTCCTCCCCACCCTCCCTCCCCCCCTTCCTCTGTCTGTCCCGCGTTCCCTGGCAGTCTCTCATCGGCCTCTTTGACCTGGACCCCAACCGTGTGCTTGACATTGTCCTGTACGCCCCTCCCCCCCTTCCTCCCCACCCCGACCCCTCCCTTCTTCCCTGGCAGTCTCTCATCGGCCTCTTTGACCTGGACCCGAACCGGGTGTTTGACATTGTAAGAATAGCACCACTGGCCTATTTTATCAGGCTCACAGAAACGTGGAAGTGCCATGCCATGCCATGCTCATCATGTCATTGCATGCCATTCGTTCACATGCCATGCTCAGCTCAGCTCACCACATGCCATGCTCACCACATGCTCAGCTCAGCTCAGCTCACTGCATGACATGCTTGTCGTCCGTACATCACTCCACATACCAGAGCCTTTTCTCTGAATCCTGGCCTGTCTCTTGCATCCTTATCCCCCATCCCTCCCTCCCTCCCTCCCTCCCTCCCTCCCTCCCTCCCTCTGTATTCCTTCTCTCTCTGCTCTCTCGCTCTGCCGTTTTCGCCGCGTGTGTCTTTCTCTCACATCACACCAGGTGCTCGACTGCTACGAGATGCAGCCCACCAACTCTGCCTTCCTCCACCTCGTCAAGCTCTTCCCTGAGGTGCGTGCTGGTGGTGGATGCTGTGCGGTGCAGTGCTGTGGGGGCCTGTGCTGCGTGGTGCTGTGCGTGCGGTCTCTTGCAGTGCTGTGTGCGGTGTTGTGCTGCAAACATTTATGTGGCTCCTCGACCATCGCTGTTTCAGTCGGCTTCCACCTCCCGGTCCCTCCCTCCTGATCATCCTGCAGTCGCACGCGCCTCAGATCCTGGGGTTCAAGGTCAGCCACTACCACCGCCTCACCGCCACCGCTGCTGCAGCGGGGAGCACAAGAAGCTTACATGTCACACACCCTTCCACGCTCCCCCCTCCAACCCCTTCTCCCCTGCGCCTTTCAGTCGCACGCGCCCCAGATTCTCGGGTTCAAGGTCAGCCACTACCACCGCCTCACCGCCACTGCTGCTGCTGCTGTAGCGGGGAGCAGCAAGAAGTTAACACGTCACACCCTTCCATCTCCCACTCTCCCCCCTGCCCCCTCAGTCGCACGCGCCTCAGATCCTGGGGTTCAAGGTCAGCCACTACCACCGCCTCACTGCCACTGCTGCCGCCGCTGCTGCTGCTGCTGCTGCTGCTGCTGCTGCAGGAAGCAAAGGGGGGAAGGAGGGCGGGGGGAACAGCAAGGGAGAGGGTGCAGGGGGGGAGAAAGGAAGTGCAGTAAAAGCGGGGGCAGGGGGAGCAGGTGGTGATGGCGAGGGAGGAGAGAAGGGGGAGGGTGGCAGTGGGGCGGAGGGGCGGATACCAGACAGCCTGTTTGTGTTGGCAGCTAACTGCCTCAAGAGCAACGTGGTGCAGCTCGCTGCCTTGTGAGTCGCATGCTTGCTTGTGGCTTGTGGTAATCGGTGCTAGGTTTCGTTGTCTTCGAGAGGTCAAGAACAGCTCACAGCATACCAGGCAAATAGTTTAAAGAGCATACCCTACTCTCACCCTGCGTTTGTCCCTGCGTGGCCTGGGCTCGTGCGTGTGTGGCAGGTACCCGTTCTTGGACCCGCCAGACGAGGAGGCAGAGGCACGCAGCAAGGAGATGAACGCACAGAGAATAGCGGATGTGAGTTGCTGCGCACACAGACATGTAAATTGTTGCTCAGCAATTTACAGTTGCCAGCTCACGGTGCAGGCTATTCGTGCACTGCTTGTCTGCTATTCGTGCACTGCTTGTCTGCTATTCGTGCACTGCTTGTCTGCTATTCGTGCACTGCTTGTCTGCTATTCGTGCACTGCTTGTCTGCTATTCGTGCACTGCTTGTCTGCTATTCGTGCACTGCTTGTCTGCTATTCGTGCACTGCTTGTCTGCTATTCGTGCACTGCTTGTCTGCTATTCGTGCACTGCTTGTCTGCTATTCGTGCACTGCTTGTCTGCTATTCGTGCACTGCTTGTCTGCTATTCGTGCACTGCTTGTCTGCTATTCGTGCACTGCTTGTCTGCTATTCGTGCACTGCTTGTCTGCTATTCGTGCACTGCTTGTCTGCTATTCGTGCACTGCTTGTCTGCTATTCGTGCACTGCTTGTCTGCTATTCGTGCACTGCTTGTCTGCTATTCGTGCACTGCTTGTCTGCTATTCGTGCACTGCTTGTCTGCTATTCGTGCACTGCGTGTCTGCTATTCGTGCACTGCGTGTCTGCTATTCGTGCACTGCTTGTCTGCTATTCGTGCACTGCGTGTCTGCTATTCGTGCACTGCGTGTCTGCTATTCGTGCACTGCTTGTCTGCTATTCGTGCACTGCGTGTCTGCTATTCGTGCACTGCTTGTCTGCTATTCGTGCACTGCTTGTCTGCTATTCGTGCACTGCTTGTCTGCTATTCGTGCACTGCTTGTCTGCTATTCGTGCACTGCTTGTCTGCTATTCGTGCACTGCTTGTCTGCTATTCGTGCACTGCTTGTCTGCTATTCGTGCACTGCTTGTCTGCTAGTTGTGCACTGCTTGTCTGCTAGTTGTGCACTGCTTGTCTGCTAGTTGTGCACTGCTTGTCTGCTAGTTGTGCACTGCTTGTCTGCCTGCCCTCCGCACTCTGCTCTGCTCACTCGCCGCTGCCTTCCCCCTATGCCAGCCCCCCTTATGCCACCTCCCCGTTCGCTACCCCCCCTATCCCCACATCTCCACTTTCCACCTTTTGTCGCGTCCTCCCTTCTCCACCCCACACGCCACCCCCTGCCCACATCACCATCTGCTCGCACCCTCATTTCTTTGCGTTCTCCATCTCCCCTCCCCTCTCTCCCGCAGGTGAACCGCATAGGAAAGATCAACCTGGCAGTGACGGGGAGGGACTTGACAGACGACCCGTAGCCAGCAGACGTGTTGATCAACCTGTACGGGGCAGTGGACGGGCAGGAGAGCGCTGCTCCTTTTCAAACACCCGCTTTTCTCCCCTCCCCCCTCGCCCCTCTCCTTTTTTTTTGCGGCCGAATCGTCCCCCATTCTCCCCCGTTCCCCTGCATTCCGCTCCCCCCCAGGTGAACCGCATAGGAAAGATCAACCTAGCAGCGACGGGGCGGGACCTGACAGACGACCCGCAGCCAGCAGACGTGACGATCGACCTGTACGGGGCGGTGGACGGGCAGGAGAGCGCTGCTGCCAAGGAGTGGGGCGAGGCGGAGGGCAACGATAAGATGCGCCTGCTCAAGGCGCTGCTGCTGGTGGATGACTGGTGAGTTGATGATGCTTGCCTTGTGCTTGCTTCTCACTTAACCGAGGAGTGGGGCGAGGCGGAGGGCAACGATAAGATGCGCCTGCTCAAGGCGCTGCTGCTGGTGGACGACTGGTGAGTTGATGATGCTTGCCTTGTGCTTGCTTCTCACTTAACCGAGGAGTGGGGCGAGGCGGAGAGCAACGAAAAGATGCGCCTGCTCAAGGCGCTGCTGCTGGTGGATGACTGGTGAGTATGTTCTCTTTCTTCTAACTGTCTTCTTTGTTGTGTGTGTTTGCATGTGTGTGTGTGTGTGTGTGTGTGTGTGTGTGTGTGTGTGTGTGTGTGCGTGCGTGCGTGCGTGTGTGTGTGTGTGTGTGGTTTCTCGTCTTTGCGTAAGCTGACTGCTTGGATGATAGTTGCGCTTCGACGACCTCGATGCTTTTGAGGCGATTCACACTCCTTGCTTCCATCCACTCCTCTAACACCTGAAGCCGCCCCACCCATCCTCCCCCGCACACAGCAGGCCCCGTGCGCAGCAGCTGCTGGCTGGCTGGAGCACCTGAACCCCTTTTGGCTGGCTGGCTGGAGCACCTGAGCCAAAAGGGGTTTAGTGCCTCCCCTCACCACACTTAGGAAAATAAGACTCTGAGTTGAGTTCTCCCCACCCTTTCTCCCACCCACCCACCCACCCTCCCACCCACCCATCCACCCATCTACCCATCCATCATCCCACCCACCAGGCCCCATGCGCGGCAGCTGCTGGAGCACCTGAGGCTGCTGCACCCCGTCGCCCACCCGCCCATCTGCACCGCGCTCTGCTCGTATGTCTCCACCGCCCCCGTGCCCTGTGCGCTCATGTGTGTGTGCCCATGCATGCAATGCAACGCCCTGTGCCATGTGTGCCCATGCATGCAATGCAACGCCCTGTGCCATGTGTGCCCATGCATGCAATGCAACGCCCTGTGCCATGTGTGCCCATGCATGCAATTGCCTCATCCCGTTATCATGCACATGTATGCCACCACGACTGCATGTATATCCTGCTGTTGCACAGCACCGGAGTGATTGGGACAATGCATTTGTGTGAATGCCAACTCTCTTTGATCGTGTCACTTCTGTGTTGTCATCTTGAATTGAACATGCCGTAACTCGTGTCAGGGTTGCACATTTTCATCAAATGTGTGCCAATCGAATGTGAACAAATAAAAACTCATCTCATTCTGATCTCTCTCCTTCCCCTACTCCCCCCCCCACTCCACCACCCGTCCAACCAGCCTCATATCCCGCTCCATCGCCCCGGCTTACCATGCAGTCCGCCCAGCCTACCTTCTCAACCTCAAAGCCCAACCTTCTGCCGATGCTACCTCGTCACCGAACCTGCCTTTCAGCCTCGGTGCCTCCCGAGGCTCGGATGGAGATGTGGATATGGCTGAAGCCGGCCAGGTGGATGGAGTGGCAGGGGGCAGGAGGAAAGGGGAGAGGGCGAGGGGGGACGAGGAGGATGGAGAGGGGGAGGGGGAGAAAGACAGAGGAGTGGGAAGGGGGGTGATGGAGAGCGGGACAGGCGGGGCGCGGGTGCCTGGGAGGGTGTTTGAGATGCTTCGCTTCCTTGGGGCGTTTCTATACCAGGACACCATTCTGCTGCAGAAGGTGAGGGGTGAGACTGGGGGAATGGGCTTCAAGGGGGCTCCGAAATTGAGATGCTTCGGTTGCTGCATGCAGGCCTTTCTGCTGTACCAGGATTCCATTCTGTTGCAGAAGGTGAGAAGTGACTGGCCGGTGGGCTTTAAGGGTTCTGAGATTGGAATCTTTTGGAGCGCGTGTTTCCATCACCTCACCATGTCTACCTAGATATGAGCACGAACCGAACTCAAACATGTTTGCTCAAACTTTTGCGAACCTTGCATGATGGTCGAACCGAACCGAACATGTTTGCTCGAACTTTTTTTAGAATTCTGAGGTTTGAGGTTTGAGTCTCTAATAGCGAACCCTAAAGGTTTGCTCAAACCATGAAAGGTTTGAGAGAACTCGAACCTAGTTCGGTTTGAGGTTACGAGAGGTGCATAAGGAAATGTAAAACGCTTGCGGAACACGTTCGGACGGCCCCTCTTGGCGCTCCCTGACGGCCCCATTGCGGGGCTGGCCGGGATTCGTCATGCTTGATGTTTAGGGTTTAGTCCCTAAGAAACGGAATGCTTGGACTAATCCCTACAAAACGGAATGCTCTGCTGCAGGCCTAACCATAACTTATGCTCACAGTAATTTCTAACCTAAATGCATGACGCATCTTAAGAGGAATGTCTAGTTAAAGAATTGTAGAGGGGGAGCTTGAATCTGGTACTTAAGAGCAGATACAGATCTGCTCTAGTTAAGTTACGAGTTTAGGGTTGGCTGCCGTGAAATGGCAGCCAACCCTTCGACTTTCCCGTTTTTGACGGGAAAGTCGCGTGGGATTTGGCGGGTGCCTAATTCGAACCCCACGCTGTTCGAATTGGACAGTTTCGAACTTCGAACCTGTTCGGTTCGAAGTCCTAAACTCGAACCTAAAAAGTTTGTGCGAACAGTTCGCGCAAACTTTTTAGAAGTTTGCTCAAACTTTTTTTACTAGAAAAAAAGTACGGTTCGAGTTAACTCGAACCTGTTTGAGCGAACCGAACCTAGGTTCGGTTCGTTGCTCATATCTATGTCTACCTGTCATCTGCATGCCATTCGTTGAACTTACTTTTCACCAAACCTCTGATCACTCTTTTTTCCCTTTTCCACTCTGCTCTTTGATTGCTGTTTTGCATGGCGTGTCACACACCTCCTCACCGCACCACACCGCCCCACATCACATCGGCCACACCATTTGCACCGCACCACACTCCCCTATCCCACAACGGCACATCCCCAGCTGTGCAAGGTGCTCAAGGCGGACCTCCTCCAAGCCCGTGCCGCCGCTGCAACTGCTGCCGCCGCTGCCGCCACAGCCGCTGCATCAGCTGCCTCCTCCGCTCCTGCAACTCACTGTAACGGCCTTTCTCTTGCCGTGCTCACACCACCACCTGCAGCAGCAGCCAACGGCCCCATTTCTGCTGAACCCGGCTCTTCGCTCGCTTCCCCTGACACCGCTGCTGCTGCTACTACTGCAACACCAGCAGCAGCAGCAGCAGCCGCTGCAGCAGAGGCAGCAGCAGCGGCAGCAAGGGAGGTGGAGGGGGGGGTGGTGGAAGCACTAGAGGCGTCGCTGCTGCCGGCGCTGCAGGCGGTGGTGGCGAGTCCGCCGGTGTGCATGCAGCTGTGGGAGGTGCTGGCCTGCCTGCCCTTCCAGGAGCGCTACCGGCTGTATGGCGAGTGGGAGAAGGAGACCGAGACCAACCCTTTGGTTCTGGCTGCCCGGCAGATTGCACGGGTGAGTCAGTCAGGGGGTGGAAAGGGTGCTGAGAAGTCCAGTAGCACTAGATCCTCTGCTGGTGGCGAGTCCGCCGGTGTGCATGCAGCTGTGGGAGGTGCTGGCCTGCCTGCCCTTCCAGGAGCGCTACCGGCTGTATGGGGAGTGGGAGAAGGAGACCGAGACCAACCCTTTGGTTCTGGCTGCCCGGCAGATTGCACGGGTGAGTCAGTCAGGGGGTGGAAAGGGTGCTGAGAAGTCCAGTAGCACTAGATCCTCTGCTGGTGGCGAGTCCGCCGGTGTGCATGCAGCTGTGGGAGGTGCTGGCCGGCCTGCCCTTCCAGGAGCGCTACCGGCTGTACGGCGAGTGGGAGCGGGACAACGAGACCAACCCCCTGGTGCTTGCTGCCCGGCAGATTGCCAGGGTGAGTGATAACAGTGCAGTTCAGGGTAGTAAGTGAGTGGGTATTGTACTGGGGTGATAAATTTGATTGGGTAACCCAGCAGCGCTGAATTTGGCCGCTGGCTTTGCTGGTGAAGGTGCTTCGAGGGATAGAGGCTCTGTTCTCCTAGGGTGCGTGGGTGGGTGAAGAAGACGCGGTTCGCACACAGATGCACGTCTTTTTCCTCCCTCGCCTTCTCCGCTTACTCCCCTCCTCCCCACCGCCCTCTCCCAACCCTCCTCTCCCAATTCCCACATATATATTTTTTCTTTGTACCCGTTCCTCCCCCCATGCCCAGCCCCCCCTTTTCATCCCCTCTCCCGCCCTCCCCCCATTTAGCTGGGCATGCGGTGCACGCTGAGGCGGCCGGCGAAAGAGAATCTGAAGGCAACACTCTGAGCATCACGTGCCTTTTCCAATGAACCTGTTCCTCTCCCCACCCGATACAAGTTGGGTTTTGAGACGCCTCAGAACCCAACTTTTATGATGTGGTGGTGAAAGAGAATCTGAAGGCCACAGTCTGAGCATCACGTGCCTTTTCCAATGCACCCGTTCATCCCTCCTTACCCCCCACTGCCCACACCGCCAGCTGGACACGCGGAGAACACTGAAGCGGCTGGCGAAGGAGAATCTGAAGCCAACGGGGCGCATGGTGGCGAAGCTGGCTCACTCCAACCCGCTCACCGTGCTGAGGACCATCGTGGTGCAGGTGGGTGCTGCTGCTGCCCTGTGCACTGCACAGTAACAGGCAGCGAAATTAGCTGCGATGGTAAGCGGTTCAGTTCAGGTATGGTTTAACAGCTGGCGCACTCCAACCCGCTCGCCGTGCTCAGGACCATCGTGGTGCAGGTGGGTGCTGTTGTGGTGCAGGTGGGTGCTGTTGTGGTGCAGGTGGGTGCTGTTGTGGTGCAGGTGGGTGGTGCTGCTGCGTGGTGCATTGCACAGTGGTGCAGTGTGCAGATGGACTCGCCCAACGATATGATTCTGGCTGTCATTATTGCCTTCTAATACCCAACCCTTCACACATCTCACAATCCAACCCTCTCCCCCACCACAATTTCCCTGAACCTCCCTCTCCCCTCTCTTCCTGTCCCACGGCTGGCAGGTGGAGGCATACAAGGAAATGATTCCGCCTGTCGTTGATGCCTTCAAGTACTTCAACCAGGTCAGTGCTCCACGCCCCACCTCGCACCACCCTGCCCCACTCCACCCCACTCCGCCCCACCCAGCCCCACCCACCCCCCCCCCCCCCCCCGCCCCTCCCCCCCCCTCTCTTGGCCCCTCGTTCGTCTGCTTCGTCTTTCTGCCTTTTGAGTCGTGCCAGCTGCGGTGTCACTGACATGCTCTGGAGCACCTGGTCCTGCTTCTACTACCTGGTGGTAAAGCCGTGAAAACTGCTCTCCTCCTACCACCACCCTCCCCCGTTCGCTCGCCCTAAAACAGTTGGAGTTTGACATTCTCGAGTACGTGGTGATAGAGCGACTGGCCCTGCCGCGCAGCACCATCAAGGAGGACGGGCTCAACATCGCCGACTGGCTGCAGTGCCTCGCCTCCTTCTGGGGCTCCGTGTACGCGCCCTCCACCCCTGCCCTCCCTCCTTCCCTCCCTTCCCTTGCTTCTGGCGTACGGGCTGTACTGCTCTGTGCACGTTCCCTCCCAGGCTTGTGTTGCCTTTTGGGGTTCCGTGGGCTGGGCTATGGAGCTCTGTGCGTGTGGCAATGCCGTTTGGTCTTCCTTTTTTTGTTTGCCATGTGTGGCCGGTCTCGTCTCCTTTTGGGGCTCTGTGTATGTTTCTCCATCCTTCCCTTGCTGCTGAGCAAAAGGCCACCGGAAGCATGGTTTTGCAGTCTATTTTTTGGAGCTCTCTACTCTCTGCTCTCTGCTCTCTGCTCTCTACTCTCTGCTCTCTGCTCTCTGCTCTCTAGTCTCTGCTCTCTGCTCTCTACTCTCTGCTCTCTGCTCTCTGCTCTCTACTCTCTGCTCTCTGCTCTCTGCTCTCTACTCTCTGCTCTCTGCTCTCTGCTCTCTAGTCTCTGCTCTCTGCTCTCTACTCTCTGCTCTCTGCTCTCTGCTCTCTACTCTCTGCTCTCTGCTCTCTGCTCTCTACTCTCTGCTCTCTGCTCTCTGCTCTCTAGTCTCTGCTCTCTGCTCTCTACTCTCTGCTCTCTGCTCTCTGCTCTCTACTCTCTGCTCTCTGCTCTCTGCTCTCTGCTCTCTGCTCTCTGCTCTCTGCTCCGTGTGCATGTGTTGTTGCCTTGTGTGGCTGTGTGCGTCCCTTCCTTGTTCCGTTTCCTCAAGCTATGTGGTTCATACATAGCCTGGCTGGCTTTATGAGGGGACGCAGTGGGGCTTCACACTGAGATTGAATGCATCGGTTCGCGTCGTCCCCTCCCCTTTTCTTTTCTTATCAGCTGCAAGAAGTACCCTCTGGTGGAGCTGCGGGGGCTCTTAAGCTACTTAGTGAACCGGCTGCACCAAGGCGAGGCAGTGGAGCTGGTGTTGCTGCAGGAGCTGATGGAGCAGATGGCTGGCATCGAGTCGAATGAGAACCTCACGGAGGAGCAGCTCGAGGCGCTGGCTGGCGGGGAGACGCTCAGGCAGTTGACCGCCAGCTTTGGCCAGGCCAAGAACAACAAGGTGCGCTGTTTGTGTGGCTTGCCGTGGCAGGGGTGGGTGGGGGTGGGGAAGAGCCTAAGGGGGCTGGCAGGGGATTGGGGCATCGCAGAATCACCTGGTTGCACGGCGGGGAGCTGGTGTTTCTGCGGGAGCTGATGGAGCATATGGCTGGCATTGAGACGATTGAGAAACTGGTGAAAAGGAAGAATTGTATCAATGTCGAGCTCAAACCAAGTGAGCCAAGGTATACATAGGTGGAGGAATTGGTAACGGATGAACTTGGCCAACAATTATTAGAGGCCCCAATATCTGTTGGTTGTGTTGGACCAACATCATTGGGGCTTCAATAATTGTTGGGTGGGTTTGAACCAACATTATTGGAGGTCCAAAAATTGTTAGAAACCCAAACAAGCTTCAACCACAATTTTTGATTGAAGGTACACTCAACAACCCTACACCTATTCTATCATATGCATGATTTATAGAAAATACTACAACACAACACCCCAACATGCATAAGGCTAGAAAAAGCTAGAATTAGGTGGCGGGAGGGGTGAGTCCAAGGAGGCCTTGGTGAAGATATCCGCGAGATTGGCCGCCAAGACAATCTTGCCATGTTTGATGCGTTCGTCGTGAACGAGGTCACGAATGAAGTAATGGCGGAGCTCAATATGCTTAGAATGTCCATGAAACACGTTGTCATTGGTGAGATGAATGGTGCTGGCATTGTCACTCCAAATGGCGGGACAGCGCTGAGGAGCACCAAGCTCCTCAAGAAGAAAAGTGTGCCCTCGAGCCTCTTGCGTGGTTATGGTGGCGACATGCAGCTCCGCGTCGCAGGAGGAGAGAGCGATGACGGAGGAGCGGGTGGAACGTCAGCTGATAAGACCGCTACCAAGAGAGAAAGCATCGCCCTAAGAGGAGCGACGTTCCGGCCGAGGCCCAGGAGGAGTCACTGTAGCCGGTGTAGACCAGACCACGACCAGGACCCCCCACGCCCAGGCCCATTGCGCCGCGAGAGATGTCCACCAACTCTATCTGACCGATGCCACTGCGCTGCGGTCTTGGGCAGGGCTGAGGAGTAGGGCGATGATGACGCGGTAGAGGTTAATGTGGTTGTCAGGGCCGACAGGAGGACGATGACGGAGAGAAAAGATAAAAAGACATAGAGGGAGCTGCTGGCGGAGTGGTAAGAAGTATTATAAGGAGGTTGTGTTCCTGAAGAGGGGCATGGGCAGTGTGACAGTGAGGTGGGAGGATGTGGAGATGCTGAAACGATGATTTTTTTTCAACGACACGCTCATTGACTTCTTCCTCAAGTGAGTAGGTTGGTCCTATGGAGAACAGCTAATGTTTTCACATTCGTCACTCTCCTCTGCGGCTGATTTCCTCCTCTGTGGGAAAGGTGGGAGGTGGCGCAGAGGAGGGTGACGAATGTGAAAACATTAGTTGTTCTCCATAGGAGCAACCTACTCACTTGAGGAAGAAGTCAATGAGCGTGTCGTTGAGAAACTTTCCTGGTTTCAGCATCTCCACATACTCCCACCTCAATGTCACACTGTCTATGCCCCTCTTCGGAAATACAACCTCCTAATAATACTTCTTACACTCCGCCAGCCACTCCGTCTGTGTCTTTTTCTTTTTTTCTCCTTCCTTGCCCTTCTTGCTCTTCTTCTCGCCCTTCCTTTCAACGTCTCAAGATCCGGCACCATCGCGTGAGTCCCCGGCCCCACCTTCACCTCGTGTGGGTGCAGTGAGAGCTTCAGCAAGGCTCTCCGCTTGAAGCCCTGTGTCGCCTACCACCGCCTGCCACTGAGGAGAGGAGCAGCTCAAGGCGCTGGTTGGGGGGAAGACTCTCAGGCAGTTGACTGCTAGCTTCCTTTGGCCAGGCCAAATACAGCAATGTGCGTTGCATGGCTTGAAATAGGTGAGGCTGCTGGGAGATTGAGTGAGCGCGAAGAAAGGTAGAAGCTGAAAGAGCTCTGCTTTACGACCAAGCAACGCAAATGTCCTATTTAAACTTGCCCTCCTCCCCATCCACCAACCCCATCCACCAACCCCATCGACCACACTCACATTCTCCAAACCCAACCCTTCCACCCCCACCCCACCCTATCCGCACTGGTACTGCTGGCAGGCCATGGCACGGTCAATGGGGCGGCTGAAGGACGCGCTGCTTTGAGATGGTTCAAAGGCCTCACTCACCCCACCACCTTCCATCACCCCCACCCCCACCCCCTTGGGTACCTGGGCAGGCCATGGCTCGGTCAAGGGGCGGCTGAAGGACGCGCTGCTTCGAAATTGTCAACACCCCATTCACCACCCGCCTCCTCCCCCCCCCCCCTTCCCCCCACCCTCTCCGTTACCGTGGCAGGCCATGGCGCGGTCCATGGGGCGGCTCAAGGACGCGCTGCTGCCGGGCAAGGGCGAGCCGAATCTCGCCGTGCCGCTGCTGGTGCTCATTGCACGGCAACGATCCAAGTGAGTGTTCGTGGTGATTCCTTGACACATTTTGGCGCACCAGTGCATTTGCTGCCACGTCATCCTTGCTTGTCGTGCTGCTCCCGCCCCTCACGCTCGCCCATACTCTCTGCTCACGCATTTTGAAATCACCCTCTCTTCCCCCAACCCCCCGACGCACTGTGCCCTCTCTATGCCTCTCCCCCTTCCAGCGTCGTGTTTGAAACTCCTCAATGAACGTTTTAGCAGTTGCCTCTTCCTTCAAACGGTCCTTTGTCTCTTGTGTCCCCTGTGCTGTGCTGTGGTGCTCTGTGCTGTGCTGTGCTGTGGTGCACATTTCGAATCCAACAGGCCCAACCCTCTCTTCGTTCTATCTCCCTTTCTCTCCCAGCCCCAAGCATTCCGTTTTGAGGCAGAGCAATCGCACAGTAGTCACGCTGTTGGTTAAGTCCCTTTCTCCTTTCCTCTCGCCATTCTCCACCCTTCTCCACCCTTCTCCACCCTCTCCCAGCATTGTGTTTGAGGCGGAGGGGTCGCACATCAAGCTACTCAGCGAGCACTTCGACCGATGCCACCTCATCATGCTACAGTACGCGCAGTTCCTCTCCGCCGCCCTCTCGCCGCCCACCTCGTACGCCGCCTTCATGCCGACCCTGCACACTCTCTCGCAGCGCTTCCACATGCCGCCCGAAGCCGCCTTCCTGTTCTACCGCCCTGTGTTGCGTCTCTTCAAGCCCTGCCCTGATTCCCCCGTGTCCTGGCCTGCTCTCGCTGCTGCGAGTGGTGCGGGCGGGAGTGGTGGGGGTGGTGGGAGGGGAGGGGAGAAGGAGAAGAGGCAGCAGCAGCAGGGGGGGAGGAAGGGGGCAGGGGATGGGGTGGCAATGGATGGGGTGGTGGAGGATGGGGTGGAGGGGGAGGGGGATGGGGAATCAGAGGAGGACTTGGTGCTGTGCCTGGGAGATGCTGCAGCTACAACTGCAACTGCTGCTACTGCTGCTGCTGCTGTTTCCACTAGTGCTGCTGCTGCTGCTACTGCTGCGGTTGGCACCGATGCCACTGACAGCCCCGTGCACTGGCGGGACGTGGTGGAGTGGGTCCGAAACATGCCGCCCGCAGCGGCGTGGCGGGGCTTGTCGCCGCCCTTCTATCTGCTCTTCTGGGGGCTGTCTCTCTGCGACCTGCATGTGCCACGGCAGCGCTACGAGGCCGAGATGGCCAAGCAGAGGGCGCTGCTCAGGTCCCTGGAAGACATTGGGGATTCCTCAGGATCAGCCATCCAGGTGAGGCATATGCGGGTTCTCCCTCTCTGCTCAGAGAGCGCTGCTCCGCTCCCTCGAGGACGTGGGCAACTCCTCAGTCTCCGCCATCCAGGTGAATTTTCAATCCAGGTGAATATTCAATCTGTTCAGGTTGTTCGGGTCGTTGAGTTGGTGGTTTCTTTTCTCTTATTCTTGTACGCACTCTCCTGCGTTTCACAAGAAAACAATACTTTGCAAGGTGGTTTCCAGAAGGAACCTGACGGAACGCAAGCTCCGGAGTGGCTTACGGCTCGTCTCAACGTCTGACCGTCCGTGGCACCTCATTTTCTAGCATCACCTCATTGTCGCCCTTTTTCTCTGCACTCGCCCTTCGTGCCGTCTCTCCCATCGCCTTGCACACTCACAAGCAGAAGCGCAAGAAGGAGAAGGAGCGAGTGCAGGAGGTGTTGGATCGGCTCTCAGCCGAGCTGGCTCGGCAGCAGGCTCGGGTCGAGGCTGTGCAGCGGCGGCTGGTTCGGGACCGCGCGCGCTGGCTGAGCCCGGCAGCCGTGCCGGACAGCTGGCGCATCGTGCCGTGCTTCCTCCACCACTGCGTTATCCCGCGCGTGCTCATGAGCCCAGAGGACGCGGTTTACTGCGCCAAGTGAGTGTCACCGTGAGAGATGAGGGGCAATGGAAGAATTAGGACAGAGATGGGGCTGGCGCATCGTCCCGTGCTTCCTGCACCATTGCGTGCGCCATTCCACACGTGCTCATGAGGGCTGAAGACGCTGTGTACTGTATTGTGCCAAGTGAGTGCTTGTTCATTCTCCGCATGCACGCAGCGGCCACCCCCCAGTTCTGTTCTGCAAGTTTTAGATGGTCGGTGCCTTTGTGTGTAAGAGCTTCCACCCACTTGTGCCCCTCTCTCTGCTCCCACCCACCAGGTTCATACTCCGAATGCACGCGGCGGCCACCCCCCAGTTCTGCACGTTTCAGATGGTGGACGCGTTTGTGTGCAAGAGCTTCCACCCATTCTACCCCCTCTCTCTGCTCCCTATCCATGCAGGTTTATTCTACGCATGCACGCGGCGGCCACACCCCAGTTCTGCACGTTTCAGATGGTGGACGCCTTCGTGTGCAAGAGCTTCCACCCGCTGCTCGCCAGCTCCTCCGAGGCCGAGGCCGGCCGCCTGGGCCGGTTCGTGCTGGAGATTCTGCAGGCCATCTACCGGTGGAAGGTGCGTGCAAGATAGCGGGAGGCAGGATGACTGGGAAGGAGATGGGACTGGGGCAATTCGGGCAATTGGGCCGCCTGGGCCGGTTCTTGCTGGAGATTCTGCAGGCCATCTACCGCTGGAAGGTGCGTGCAAGATGGCGGGAGGCAGGATGACTGGGAAGGAAATTGGACTGGGGCAATTCGGGCAATTGGGCCGCCTGGGCTGGTTCTTGCTGGAGATCAGGCCATTTTTGAGAATTCTCAAAAGTCGCACCGAGATTCTGCAGGCCATTTTTGAGAATTCTCAAAAGTCGCACCGAGATTCTGCAGGCCATTTTCTAGAATTCTCAAAAGTCGCACCGAGATTCTGCAGGCCATTTTTTTGAATTCTCAAAAGTCGCACCGAGATTCTGCAGGGCATTTTTGAGAATTCTCAAAAGTCGCACCGAGATTCTGCAGGCCATCTACCGCTGGAAGGTGGGTGTGAGGCAGAGGGAAGGGAGGGAGGGGGGGGGTTATGAGTAGAAGGTGAGAGTCGGTCAGTGGTGGTGGTAAGTGCTTCCGCCCGCTGCTCGCCAGCTCCTCTGAGGCTAAGGCGGGCCGCCTGGGGCTCTTTTGGAGATTCCGCAAGTCATCTACCTATCGGCCATCCTTCACTTCACACACCCTTGGCAGCAACCCTCCTCCCCCATACCTCCCCTCTTTCTTGGTGTCGGTGAGTGGCAGAGAGGTGCTGCGGTGTACAACACAGAGTGTAGTTTTGAGTCGACTCAAAACACAACACAGAGTGTCGGATCGGAGCCTCTTTCCTCTCTCACACCACACTATTGCTCAATCGCTCCCCTCTCTTCCTCCTTCCGCTGCCCCCCATCTTGTGCTGTCGGTGAGTGGCAGAGCGGTGCTGCGGTGTACAACGCAAAGTGTCGGATCGGAACCTCTTTCCTCTCTCACACCACTCTATTCCCTCTTTCGTGCTCCCCTCCTCCCCCCTCTTGGCGTGCGAGCATGGCAGAGCGATGCAGCGGTGTGCAGCGCGGAGTGTCTGGACCACATTCCTCAGTCGCACCATACTTTGCTCTCCCTCACTCCCTCCAACCCCCTCCTCTTCCTCCTCCCCATTCCCTACCTTTGCTGTGGGTGCATGGCAGAGCGATGCAGCAGTGTACAGCGCAGCGCGGAGTGTTTGGACATCACCTTTCCAAGACCCTCCACTACCCCCTCCCCTCCTCCCTTCCCCCTTCACCAACCTGCTGTGGGTGCATGGCAGAGCGACGCATCTGTGTACAGCGTGGAGTGTCTGGAGCACCCCGGGTCGTCCAAGAGTGTGATGAAGAAGCCCAACAACAACATGACGCTCGACCAGTTCCGCACGGTGAGACAGTGTTGACTTTGTTGACTATGCTGACCGTGTTGATTGTGCTGTTGACCGTGTTTGACTGCATTGACAAGAGTGTGATGAAGAAGCCCAACAACAACATGACGCTCGACCAGTTCCGCACGGTGAGACAGTGTTGACTTTGTTGACTATGCTGACCGTGTTGATTGTGCTGTTGACCGTGTTTGACTGCATTGACAAGAGTGTGATGAAGTTTAACAATAACATGACACTCAACCAGTTCCGCACTGTGGGTGCTCTAATTGCTGTGCTGACTGTTTACCCTTTTCACCAAGTTGACCATGTTGACTGCGTTGACCATGTTGATTGTGTTGACAAACCCTCACTGCACTCACTTCCCAAATCTCTGCTCCCATCTTCTGCCTCCCACGCCCCTCCTGTTGCCTGCCTCCCACACGCCCACCTCGTGCCTCCGACACGCCCACCACATGCCTCCAACACGCCCACCTCGTGCCTCCCACACGCCCACCTCGTGCCTCCCACGTCCCACTCTCATCTTCACTCTTCATAACCCCCCGGCTGTCAGATCAACTGGAAGTGGAATGTCAAGCTAGTGAAGGTGCTATCGACCCTCCTCGAGTCCACCGAGTATCGACCCTCTAGTGAAGGTGCAACGCCCTCATGCTGCTCCTTTCTGCTCTCCTATCCCCCCCCCTCTCCTGCCACATACACTCGCGTTGTTCTTTTCTTCCCTCTCTCTGTCAGATCAACTGGAAGTGGAACGCCAAGCTGGTGAAGGTGCTGTCAACGCTGCTCGAGTCAACCGAGTACATGCACATTCGCAACGCCCTCACGCTGCTCTCGCGCGTCTCTGCTGTCTTCCCCGTCACCAAGCGCGGCGGGCTTGTTCTCGAGCGCAAGGTGAGTGCCATGCCGCTGCTGCTGTTGCTTAACCTGTTGGTGCCGCACTGGTTGCTGCTGCCGCCGCCGCCGCCGCCGCCGCCGCCTTATCATCACCCCGTTGCGCTGTTGTCACGATCGCATGCTGAAAACTCTGCAGCGTCTCTCATTGTGCCATCATGCCATGCCACCATCACCATCGCCATCAGGTGAATCGTCTCAAGGCGGAGGAGCGGCAGGATCTGAAGCTCATGGCCACCAGCGTGTCGGCTGCACTTAATGCCAAGAAGGTACGGCTGCAACAGGTAGAGTGATCAGGTCTTGATGGCTGCAGTAGCAGATATCACGTGCCCTTGCTGCGCCTCTGAAGCTCATGGCTACCAGCGTGTCGGCTGCACTCAACGCCAAGAAGGTATGGATGTGATGAGTAGATACGGGTCGTTTCAACTTTTCTGATTAGATTTGACTCAGCGTCCCCAATTCGTGGTGGCAAGCCCTCCCTACTTCCAAGGCTTTACACATGGCAAAGCAACCACAATCGTGGCTGTGAGCCTGAAACGATTTTTGAGTCGACTCGAAAATCAACGTCCCCAATTCGTGGCAAGTCCTCCCTACTTCCAAGGCTTTACACATAGCAACCACAATCGTGGCTGTGAGCCTGAAAGAACTTGGAAGGAACAAAAAAAAAAAAAAAAAAAAAAAAGAGGCTGATTTTCGAAACAAGAGTGAGAATCATATGCTTGGAAATATGCACTTGTGACGACATATATGTTGTTCTAAAGGAGAATGCTGTTAGCGTTTGTGTCTTCGTGCATTCTCGCTGTCTTTCTTGCAGCAATCGTGAGTGACAGATGAGGGGTTTGGAGGCGCTCTAGCTCCCTCTGACACATCCTGCCGCTCTTTTTTTGCCCCTCTTGCTGCCTCTCCGGCTGCAGGCGCCTCAACATGCTACTTTCCGTGTGTGCCTCCCGCAGCAATCGTGGGTGACGGATGAGGAGTTCGGAGGGGCACCAGCTCCCTCTGCCGCTCCCTGCCCTGCCTCTGTTGCCCCTCTTGCTGCCTCTCTCCTGCTCTCAGTGTGCTACTCTCCGCGTGTGCCTCCCTGTTCCTCCCGCAACAATCGTGGGTGACGGATGAGGAGTTCGGACGGGCACCAGCTCCCTCTGCCACTCCCTGCCCTGCCTCCCTTCTTCCCTTGCCCCACTTTTTATAGGTGCCTCAAAATGCTATTTCCCACTAATGTGCATCCCACTCTCTCCCTCTCTCTCCCTGTCGCTCGCAGCAATCGTGGGTGACGGATGAGGAGTTTGGGGGAGCACCAGCTCCCTCTGCCACTCCCCGTGCTGCCTCCCCTGCCCCTCTTGCTGCTGCTCCTGCTGCCCCCTCGACCACCACCACTGCTGCTGCTCCTGCTGCTGCTGCAGCTGCTGCATCGGCTGCTGCTCCTGCCACTGTCCCTGCTGCCAGCGCAGCTGCTTCGGCTGCTGGTGGTGGTGGTGGGATTGGCAAGGGAGCTGCTGTTATCCCTGCTGCTTCTGCTGCTGCTCCCTCTGCTCCGTCTAGTCGCCACCCCACGCCCCCCCCTTCACGCCGTTCCTCCATGCCTCCCCCTTCCCCCGAACGCCCCGCCTCCAAGTCTCCCCTGATCCATGGCGGAATGGGGGGACGGGAGGGGGAAGCGGGAGAGGGGAGAGATGGGGAGAAGGAGAGAGGCAGGACAATGGAAAAGGAACGAGAGAAGGTGATGACGGTTAAGGGGGAAGAGGGTGGTGCTGTTGCTGGTGCTGCTGGTGGTTCGTCTTCCCGTGCTGCTGCTGCTGCTGAAGTCCTTATAAAGGAGGAGCCAGTAGCGAGGACAGTGGGGCAGATGGAAGGGAAAAGGGAGGATAGGTGGGAGGAGGGGGAGCAAGCACCACCTGCGAAGCACAGGAAGGTGGAAGGAGGAGAGGGAGAGGGAGGGGGACGGGGAGGAGGAGGAGAGGCTGGAAGAGGGGGGGTGAGGGCAGGCAGCAAGCTCTCCCCTGATGCTCCTCCCTTTGTGCCCGCTGCACTAAGAGGGGCAGGGGGTGGGGAGGATGGGGGGAGGGTGAGAGATGAAGAGGTGGAGGTGAAGGGAGGGAGGAGAGATGAGGACGGGAGGGAGGGGAAGGAGAGGGAGAGGGAAAGGAGGGGGTCGGGTGGGGGTGGTAGGCATGAGGAAAGGGCAGGGAGGGAGAGAGGAGGCGAGGAGGAGGGAGGGTTTGAATCAGACAAAGGAAAGGGTGGGAAGTTGGGCGTGGGGGGTGAGGGGTCAAACCACAGGGATAGCGTGGGTGTGGGTGTGGGTGGGTCTAGTAGGAGAGCGTATGAGGAGAAAGAGGAGCATGAAGCAGGGGAGGTGAGGGGGGAGGGTAGAGGGGAGGGCAGGTGGGAGGGCAGGGGAGGGCATAAGAGGGGGAGTGATGGGGTGGAGAGAGAGGGGGTGAGAGATTTGGGTGAGAGGGGGAAGAGAGGAGAGTGGGAGGATGGGGAGCAGGATGTGCGTGGAGGGAGGGATGAGAGGAGTGTGAAGATTGAGAAAGAGGATATGAAGAGTAGGGAGAGGGAGAGGGAGAGGGAGGAGAGGGATAAAGATAAGTTGCGTGTGTTGGATAGAGAAAGGGAGGCGGAGGCAGGGAAGGGGAAGGAGAGAGAAGGCAGAGATAGGGAGAGGGAGAGGGACAGGGGGAAGGAGAGGGAGAGGGAGGACAAGGGACGGGACAGGGGACGAGGGGAGAGGGAGAAGGATCGTGAAGTGGAGCGGGGGGAGGTGAAGGAAGGGCGGGAGAGGGACAAGGGACGTGAGAGGAACCATGAGGAGGAAAGGGGGGAGAAGGAGAGGCAAAGGGAGAAGGAGAAGGAGAAGGAGAAGGAGAGGGAGCGAGTGCAGGAGGAAAAGATGAGGGAGGAGAGGGAGAGGCTGAGGGCTCGGCTTGAGGAAGATATGATGGTGAGAGAGAAGGAGAAGGAGAGGGAGAGGGAGAGAGAGAAGGAAAGGGAGAGGGAGAAGGAAAAGGAGAGGGAGAGGGAAAGGGAGAGGGAGCGGGGAGCAGGTAAGGATAAGGGAAGGGAGCGAAGCAAGGCTGCTGCGGCGGCAGCTGTGGCTGCAGCTGCTGCGGCCACTGCTGGTCGGAGTGCTGGAGGGGGGTTGGGAGGAGGAGATGGGGGTGGAGGAGGGGGGGGAAGTGGAGGAGAGAGAGGGCCTAGCATGGCAGCCAGTCCTGCTAGAGTGACGGGAGGGGGGGCAGGAGGGGGAGGCGCATCTGGTGTGAAGAGTCCAAAGGAAATGGAAGGGGTGGAGGAGGGAGGGAGGGGTAGGGGAGGTAAGAGGAGTGTGAGCTCATCAGAAGAAGGGGGAGGAGGGGCGGTGGCTGGGGGTGGTGGGGAACGGGGAGTTAAAAGAGCAAGGAGGAACGATGGGGAGATAGAGAGGGAGAGAGGCAGGGACGAGAAGAGGGAGAGGGAGAGGGAGCGTGAGAGGGGAGAGGAGACTCCGAGGGCGCATGAGTGGGAGGGGAGAGGGGAAGGGAGAGGGGAGGGGAGAGGAGGGGAGCGGGGGAGCGGGGGTCGGGGAGGGGAGAAGGGAGAGTGGAGTGAGAGAGGCAGTGTGGAGCGGGGGAGGGGGAGAGAGGTGGAGGATACAGGTATTGTGGGTGATGGGCGTGGGGATGTGCATGAGTGGGGGGAGAGGGTTGGTGTGCGTGAGAAGGGTGTGTCTGATCGCAAAGGGGAGAGGGAGAAGGAGAAAGAAAGGGAGAAGGGGAGGGAGAGAGAGCGAGGGCAGGTTGATAGCACCCCTGAGAGGGAGGTGAAGGAGGAGAGGGGTGGGGGGCGTGAGAGAGAAGCAGAGCACTTGAAGGAAAGGGACAGGGACTGGGACCATGAGCGTTCAACTGTGAGGGAGAGACTGGGGGAGCGAGGGAGGGGTGGGAGGGAGAGGGGAGAGAGAGGAGAGAGGTTGGGTGGCAAGGAGGAGGAGCGGGGAGTGGAGCAGGAACGTGTGTATGAGAAGGAACGTGGGGAGAGGGAGCGTGGTGAGAAGGGTGAGAAGGAGCGTGGAATCTTCCCCGAGCGGAGCATTGAGAGGGGAGGGGGGATTCGTGTGGTGGTGAGGGAAGTGGGCGAGGAGGGGAGGGAGGAGGGGCATGCGCAGAGGCATGGAGCAGGGCAGGGGCTTCGTCACTCGCTTGTCGTTGGAGTAACTCCACCTGCCCCTGCTGGAAGACTCCTTCATGAGGTACGCCGCTCAGGTTAAACCAGTTATTTTATTGAAATGCACATGTATACATGTATCTTTAACATATATATTAATATTTCGAAACTTCGCCCACTTATTCCTGTTGGAGACTATGTAGCCTTTTCCCGTGTCAACTCCTTTTATTTTTTTCGTGTTGTTTCTCTCACGCTGTTCCTCCCCACCTCATCCTCCCCCAGCCACGAGAGCGGGACCGTGACTGGGATCGCGATCACGACTATGACGAGCGCGACAGGGAACGGGACAGGGATCGGGACAGGGACCGCGACCACCCGCGAGATCGCGAGCCTTATCGGGAGCGAGACCGCTCGCCTCGGGAGAGCAAGTTCTCCTCTGCGCCGCCTCCCAGGGAGCTCCAGCCCATCTCCCCGCTTCCACCGCAGCCTCTCGCCCTGCCTGCTCAGCTCGCTCCTACCAGCTCCTCAGCTGCTCTCCCTGCAAAGCGCAGGAAGATCAAGCGGGATCAGAGCCTCATGCAGCCGCATGGGGATGCCATGCATTCGCCAGGCGGTGCCGGCCCGCCTGTGGCTGGCATTGCAGCAGGTGGGCCGTCAGCCATGCCCATGCCGCTTGCTCCGCCGTTCCACTCAGGTGGGGTTCACCCATCGTCTCGTTCCCCTGCTGTGGTATTGGCGGCTGGGGGTGGGCATCGTGGTGGGCCGATGCTTCATGTGACTTCAACGCTTGATGACCGTGCGGACAGACGGTGGATTGCTGACGGTGGTGGTGGTGGCGGAGGTGGGAGCAGGAGAAGTGGTGAGGTTGAGTTGCCGCCGCCTTCACGAGGGGCAGGGCCTGCTAGGAGCTCCAGACTTGCTGGCAGGCTTGGGGATCAGGATGTGGGAGGGAGCTACGATCGTAGTGGTCCTGGTCAAGGAGGTGGAGTGCGAGATGAGGCATGGGACGGTGACAAGGCGCGACGGGATGGTCGCATGAGCAGCAGACGCCATTGAGCAAGGTCCCAACCATTCAAATGAACATAAGGTCGACCATGCTGATAATCTTGTTGGAACCAGCGTGTCATGATTATGGCGTAACTCAATTGATGCTTGTCCAAGCTGGATACATAGTGGTGAATCTTCAGGATTGAGATACTAGTATTATGACGGATGAATACATTTTAAGATGGTATGCTATTGGGAGCAAGAGTTAAGCTGCTAGCCAGAAAAGAGAGCTTGAAGCACAGCAATTCCACGCTCCTTCACTCAGGTCTGCGAAGCTTGGTATGCAATGGTGGCTCCTTGTAGCTCATGAGAGTTCGGGCACGAAGGGCACGCTTTGGTGGCTCTGAAGGTTCCTTGACCTCATCGACAATTTCACGAGCAAAGGAAGCTGAACGGTTGCTGGGCCTGCCAACAGAGTTATCTGTATGGCTATGTGGACGCCTGCTCGTGGGGTTGTGTGTTTGGACCCTTGTGGGCCTGGAGTGAAAGTTGTTTGAGCTGCAACTCTCTGCATCAGATGCTGAGTCTTCATGTGCCACCTGACCCTCTTGCTGCATCTTAGGTGGCTTGGGATTGTAGGTTCGTGGCCGCACAGGGGATGCAGCAGGGTGTTCCTCCTCTGCGCGTTCTTTGACGATCCCTGGCATCCTGTCAAGAATATTAAAACCTAAAAAATACTGAAACTGGAATCACCATGATGACCTACCTGGATAAAGGTGCATTGATCTTCCTCGTTCTTGCTCTGGTCAGTCCTGCATGTTCTGCCATTACAGGATCTCGCTGACGATTGTCGTTGCGCTTCTGAAAATGTCAGGCAAACGAGATGAATAACCGGGCTTGACTGTTAACAACCAACGAACAAACTTGCATCTTCAAGGTCACACCTTCGGTGACGCCTTCTTTGTTGCAAGAAATTGTAGCTCCTGCATGTCCATTACATTATTATCTGGTTAACGTACTATAAGTAGCAAAAATGTGGTATACCTCAAGATTGTTCAGTCTTTCTTGCAATCTTGAATTCTCTTCCTTCGCCTTTTCAAGCAGTCTCTCTGCTTCCTGCAGCTGAATGTCAGTGAGCTGTCCTACAGAAAGCAAGCAACCACAAAGCTCTCACTAGCCTCACCTCCTTTTCACTCTTCAAGACTTTGATTAGCACCCTTTGCTGAATACTCTCATTGCGAAGAAGCTCAATCTATAAAGAAAATACGGATCAGTTAAGTTTGAAACATCAACGGGACTGAACCAATCTTACCTGAGCTTGTTGATGCATCATTTCCTGAAGATAAACGCAATCAGACGGATCAGGCGTACTGCTCACGATGTCTAAACGGGTGGTCGTAACAAGCGTTTTGGTACCTTTTGCAAAGAAGCATTTCTCTGTATGATGTCATTGTTAAGCAAAGAATGTCGTTGCATCATTGCCTTCAGTGCCTCCTGGGTGGTGCGAATCTGCTCACTAGAAACACTGAGTCAGCAACTTAAGCTCGCTTCATGCCGACTGATTTTGAAGAAGAAGAAAAAAAAAAATCTTACTCTCTTTCAGCCACAACCTTTTTCCACATGTCATTGACCTGTAAGAATGGGAGAAGAGTTTAGGCAGGTTTTTAGAAGGCTACAATCTGGCAAATTCTACGGTTTCCACCTTTTCGATTTCCACAAGGTTGTTGGCCAGGCTGTTGTTCAAAGGTCCTGTTGTTCCAACATAGCTTCTGTGATTAGCCAAACCTCGAAGCGGACCATTTTGTCTCAAAATAGGGGTCAGCGGCATGGCTCCTGGGTGCTTACGGCACAACGACAACCGCCTTTCGCGAAACCTACGGCTTGAAACTGACGATATCTAGCATATGCTTGAACGTTGTCTGTACGACGACCTTTTTGTGTTCACGACGTGAAATGAACGGACATATGAAAGCTGAAGTGATGGTTCTGGTCTGGAAGAGGCGAGTGCGCATTGACAAGGTTTCGTTCGAATCGGAACTGTCTTTCAAACCTTGTAGCACGCCGAGAAACCCGTATAATTGATACGGAGGCTGAAGTGTGGAGTGTGGATTGGGTGATTGAGGTATGGTAACTGAGATTCACACCACACACACCATGACTCGCGGTTGAAAATGTCTCAAACTAAATCGTTGAACAAGGCTTCTCACGCATCAGGTCTGGTCCGGAGTGGTGACCTGGGGGACATCTCAACCACCAAGAATTACCATTGTATAGCATGTTGCACATCCGTTACAATGCATAACTAAAATATTGTTACAAAGTATCATAACTAGGCCATAGCAAAGTTTATTATTATTATCAATATGAGCAACTACTTTTAACCCCTCTTTCCACTGAGACTAGTAGGATCAGACAACGAAGTATTTTATATCGACGCATAAGCACCAGAACGATAATACTCTCCGTCTTGCTTGTACATGACTCGCTAAGGCGGCCCCATAACTTGCTGGTTTACAGTGTGGCTAGGCAAGGTGTATGGCGAGGACATGGAGCCCCAAGGCCTGACCCATTTGGCGACCAAGGCCTTTCTCGCTGACGTCACTCGCGCTTCCATCGCTGAAATTGTTGGGGAGGGCAATTTCCCGCACCGCTAATCGAGCTGCTCCCGCCAAGCCTATGAACGGTACTCAAATGCCCTCATGACGGAACCTACTGTACTTGCGGTCACCCCGAACCTGGGGCTAGAGTTCGGTAACGTCATCCAACATTATATGCGCGCAGTAGTTCTGTTTAACCCCAAAAACAATTGAAGACACCTAGGTGATCTCAAATTTGATCAGAAACCACCCCTCCGGCCACATCAACTTTGCTGAGAGTGTACTGAAATCGCAGAAAAAAAAATCCACTTCGCTGAGAGGATGGCTGGTCACTGCCTAAAATATTGTCTAAATCTGGAGAAAGAGATGAATGTCTTCGCGAATCGCGTTTGCAACTAGCCCTGATTTATCTCAATCGCAAGGAGGAAATGTACCTTTCATTCAAGTTGTAAGCTCCACATCAGCTAGGGAAGCCAGCAGAAGATATACGAACCGCACAGAATTGCATCAGCAAATATTCGACCGCACCTCGCGGAAGCCACAGCGCCCTGCCTCATTGGGCCTACTTTCCGGCACCTCACGTCACATCACCGTCAACAGTCCATCCAAGCCCCAATCCAGCATCAACTCCTCTCCGTTCCCTTCCATTTCCTCCCTCCCTCGTTGTTTGTTCGCGCGGTTCCGAAATTTGAGCTCTCCCAAAACCCGCTACTTCAATTTACGGGGCTTCTGGCGCATCATTCACAACGCGTGACCAGCAGTCCCATCGCATGCAAAAATCGTGTTCGCTGTTCCATTCTGATCACCGTATCGGCAACGCTGCTACCTTTATGTAATCTACATCCACTCATTGACAACAGTCATAAAACTTCCACTTCTAGCGCTGCACACGTATTCACTTCCGTCTTCAGACCAGAACATCGTAAAACAGCCGAGCTCAATGGAATCAGGCGGGGTGGCGGTAAGGGAGAACCGAATGGCGGCCTTCGCGGGGAAGTGGGAGGCGTTCGGGCAGACCAAGGTGGCGGCGCTGAAGGCGGCTGTGGCGCAGGGCGTGGCGCAGAGCCAGCAGATGTTCGAGAAGGAGAAGCCTGCTCAGCTCACGCCCGTCGAGCAAGATGACAAGGTGATTGACAGGTCTAGCACAGGTTTTAACATAGGCTATAGCGCAGGGCGTGAGTGTGGCGCAGGGCGTGAGTGTGGCGCAGGGCGTGAGTGTGGCGCAGGGCGTGGCGCAGAGCCAGCAGATGTTCGAAAAGGAGAAGCCAGCTCTGCTGACGCCCGTCGAGCAAGAAGCCAAGGTGATGAGAAACAGGGGTCTTTATAAATCGGAAGGTGAGAAGGGGACTCGTTGTAAGCACGAACTCAATGCAGCTGATACGTCTAGCACAGGAGAGGTCAGTTCTGCTCACGACGGTCGAGCGCATGTTGAGCAGAAAGCCTCGGTAATCGCGTAGAGCACCTCCGCCCATGCCTCCATTGAGTACTCTTTGCTATAGGCAGATTGCGTAACTAGTTTACATCTAGCGGTTTCTATCAAGCAAGACTTCTCACAGAAGAACGCGGCGTCAGGTCGCGTCTCGGAAAAGAGAGAGGATGAAATGAGAGTAGCAGGAGCATGAGATATTCGAAGGCGGCGCTGAAGGCGGCTGTGGCGCAGGGCGTGGCGCAGGGCGTGGCGCAGAGCCAGCAGATATTCGAGGAGAAGCCGGCTCCGCTGAATCCTGTCGAACAAGATGCCAGGTGATGAGAGAAGGCATTGAGTGTCTAGCACCTCGCATAGCATATGGGGGTATTGGGGCTCGACAGATGGTTGAGAAGGAGAGGTCAGCTGACTCAACCAGGAGGCGTAGTTGATTACATAGAGTGCCTTCTTGATCTTGCCTTCATTGAGTACGCGCTATAGGCAGACTGCAGTACTCGTTTACAGCGGGCGGTTACTATCGAGCAAGGCTTCGCCCTGCAAACCGAGCGATGCTACGTGAACGCGGTGATAACATCGGATCGCGGAAACGAGAGGTGAATATGAGAGGAACAGGGCATGAGAGGAGGAACGGAAAGTGCAGCGTTCGACAGCGTATAAACAGCTCAGCAGACCTTATCATCTCCATGGCACAGAGAATAAAGCTGAAATGACAACCTGCACGCGAAGTCGCACGCGGATCCGCACAAACGCCTGTTTCCTCCGCTATCGTTTTTCGCGCTCTTAACTCTCCCTGTTCGCTTCCGCTCGGTCACTCTCTCAGCGTGTTCTCGCGCCATCAATTCTCTTGCTGCGTGCTTTCGCGCTCTCTCTTTCTGTCTCCTGTGCGCTCCTCCATGCAGGTGCAGGAGCTGTGCGATTCCCTCGGTGCCCTTTTGGGAATTCTCAGAAGTGACTCCCTCTCACTCTTTACGCTAAAAAAACTTCCGCGCTCTCACTCTCTCTCTCTCCCTTTCTCTCTGCGCGTTTCTGCGTGCAGGTGAAGGAGCTGCGCGCATCCCTCGGTCCGCTCCCCAAGCGCGCGCGGATATTCTGCTCCGACGCGTGTCTGCGCCGATACCTGCGCGCGCGCAACTGGCACGTGCAGCGCGCCGAGCGCATGCTGCGCGACACGCTCAAGTGGCGCGACCAGTGCCGCCCGGAGGAGATTCGATGGGTACGTACACTTGCACGCGAATGCCTACATTAGTTCGCACGTACCTACATTCACACGCACGTCCGCACATGCGTAAGCACGTCCATTATTAACAATGTGACATTACTTCACACCACGCGGACTCGCCACCTCCACCGAAACGTCCAATCAATGCCACCCTTCGCAGCGGAGGTGGGTGTTGGAACCACCAACGTCTCTCCTTATCTCCTCTCTCTCCTCATTATTTTCGCATTATCCCCAACTAATGGACGCAATTGTGTCGTGTGTCAAAACACAAATGCGTTTACTTTGCTACGTGTTGACCACAATTGTGATTCATGGGTCGTGCGGTGACGCGATTGCAGGCGGACGTGGCGGAGGAAGGCGCGACGGGCAAGGTGTACCGAACGGCATTCCAGGACAAACACGGCCGCCCAGTCGTGGTGCTCTCTGCCGGCCAGCAGGTGAGGGGCTTGCAATATGGTGGGGCTTGCGAGATAAGTGCCTTGCGAGGTGCTCGGGTAGAGAGGGGTTGTGACCTGAGAGAAGGAAGGGCGATTTATGCAGGAAGGGCAGAGAAGGTGCAGGATAAATTCCCGGCTGGCAGCGGATGGCGTTCTCTGCCAGCCGCTGGGTGAGCAGAATAGGTTTTCACTCGGGCCATTCGAGTTCATAGAGTCAGTCTCTCGGCTACTGTGTACACCCCACCTCCCCCTCCATACCAGACTACCAGAGTTTCCAGAGGCTAACAGCCTTCATCTGTGCATTCCCGTTGCTTGCAGAACACCAATAACCACGCAGGGCAGGTGCGGCATCTCGTGCATTGCCTTGAGAACGCCGTCATGAACCTGCCGGCCACTGCCCGCGAGCAGCAGCAGCCGCAGCAGCAAGATGGTGTGGAGCAGGGAGAGCAGCAGGGGGAGCAGGAGCAGATGGTGTGGCTGATTGATTTCCGCGGATGGAGCATGCGCAAGGCTCCGCCGCTCAAGACGTCTCGCGAGGTGTTGAGCATTCTGCAGAGCCACTACCCGGAGAGGCTCGGCGCTGCTGTCATCTACAACCCGCCCGCCGTCTTCGAGGCCTTCTGGAAGGTGCGTTGGTGCTTGGGTACATACCATGAGAACCAAGGGGAAATACCAAGGGTCCCTGCGGATGGTGGGATGGTGCTGCTCCATGGGAATGGTGAGATGGAGATGCAAGAAATTCACACCTTATTTTTTCTTGTCTTTTTTCTTGTTGCGCTTGCTGCCAGCGTGAGTGGTTGCGATCCATTCTGTGAGTGGTTACAAGGAATTCACACTTGCTTACTTGTTTATTTCTTTTTCTTGACTTTGCTTGTTTATTATGTCGCGCTCATCATTGACCACTCTACTCTCGATCCGTTTTGCTTGAGCAGGTGATCCGCCCCTTCATAGACCCGGTGACGTTCAACAAGATCCTCTTTGTCAACCCATCTAAGCCCGACACGGTGAGAAAGCTCGAGGGGATCTTCGACCTGGACCGCCTTGAAGAGGCGTTTGGGGGGCGGTCCAAGTGGACCTATGACCATGCGACATATGGCGAGATGATGGCACGGGATGATGAGAAGACGGCAGAGTACTGGGGGATTGTTGAGGGGGAGCGGTTGGGGCAGCAGCAGGAGATTGTGGGGGATGAGAGCGGGGACGGTGCTGACAGCACTCAGGGCAGCGAGGAACGTTCTCTCCGCAGCAGCAGCAGTTCCAGCAGCCTCAGCAGCACCAGCAGCAACGGCGACGGTGACGGCGGTGCTAACCTTTGGTTACCCATTGAGGTTCTCACTCCCACTGATCCGAACACACCTCATCCGATCCCAGCACCTGCACAAACAAATGGGATGTTCACGACTCTCCATAAGATGAGCCTGAACAAGTTTGTCAAGCGACCAACGTGGCCCCAATAACACTCGATGTCAAAATATATGCATCTCATTATCTAGGCTATATTGGGGATAGCCTTAGGGGGTACACAAACTTTCTCGATACCCTAGTCTTGTACCCAAACCTTCACCTAATCCACTCATTCTTGCCTTAGTTCTTAACATGGTAACTAGAGCAGGAGGTCTCTAGGACCTAAGAATCGGGCCCACCTAACTGTCTGCCTTGCCTACTGCCCGCGCGCGCCTCGGCTGCAGCGCGCGTCACTTTTTTTTTTTCGCGCGCGCCTCGCCTACTAGCGTGCGCGCCACTGTTTTTAGCGCGCGCCACTGCTGTAGCGCCGCGCGCCGGCCCGCGTCGCCCGCGCAGCCCGCGTAGAGCCCGCGCAGCCCGACGCCGCGCGCAGCCCGCCGTCGCATGCAGCCCGCCGTCGCCCCGCGCGCCGCGTCTGTCGCCAGCGCGGCCCGCCGCTGCGCCGCGCGTCGCGTCGCGCAGCTGCTTAGCGCGCTGCCTTAGGAGCTCGCGTGCGCCGCTCCTGCCTGCTGCCTGCTGTCTCCTGCCTGCTGCCTGCTGCCTCTGTCTTTGCTTGTGGCCTGGTGCCTGCTGCCTCTTGTCTGCTGCCTGCTGCCATTATGACGACGCCTAACGTTTTCGCGTTCGAGCCTGACGGTCGCCCCATAGAGTTCGCTGTGTGGTTAGATGATCTCCAACTGTTCCTTCTGACCGATGCCAAAGAGGGCGTTTCACTGTTCGATTACGTGTCTGGCACTGCCGTTGCTCCTGCTGCCGATGCTCTTGCTCTCGAACGCTCGCAGTGGCAGACTCGCGATGCTGCTGCACGCCTAGCTATTAGGAACCATCTGCCGTTTACTGAGCGCGCGCATTTCAGCCAGCACAAAACTGCTAAGAAGCTGTACGACGCTGTAGTTGCGCGCTACTCCTCCCCGGCCACTGCAGCCATAGGTCGGCTCATGCTACCCTACCTGTTCCCCGACCTTTCCTCGTTCACCACTGATGAGGACCTCATTTCCCACCTGCGCGCTACTGACACTCGCTTTCGTGCCGCCCTTTCAGCTGAGTTCTGCGCCGCTAACCCCCCCCCCCCGATGTACTTCACTCTCTATTTCCTCGTCACCCGCCTCCCTGACACTCTTGGCTCAGTCAGGGACCACTTAATCACGCTAGACCCCCCCACTCTCACTGTCGACGACTTCGAGAAGCACCTCCTCGCAGCAGAGAAGAACATCCTCGCTGTAGGTGCTGCTCGTGGCACTCTTCGCTCTCCCCTCTTTGAGGGGTGCTCCCCCTCCCCTCTCACCCCCTCTTACGCCTCCGCAGCTGCTGCTCACGACTACCTTGGTGCTGCTTAGGCGTGATGTACCTATCTTTGATCTTGACTATGAGGCTATTCTTGCTGCTATGTATGCATTGTCTGTTAGTGCTGAGGGTGACTGCTACTTGTGTGTGCCGCCGGATCCTGGTATAGTCCCTGGTATAGCGCCTGCAGCACTAGGTGCTTGTGAGTCTGCTCCCCCTGGTACTGCGCCTGCACAGGCCTTGCACACTTTTACACTTGACTCTGGTGCTTCCCGCTGTTTCTTTCGCGACAGTACCAGAATCACTCTCCTCCCTGCACCTGTTCTCCTCTCACTGGCTGACCCCTCTGGGGGCCCAGTGCTTGCACGGTCTTCCACCGTGCTTCCGTGTCCGGCGGTCCCGTCTGGTGAGCTGTCTGGTCTCCACCTCCCCTCGTTCTCTACGAACTTGGTGAGCAACGCTGTCCTCCAGGATGCGGGGGTCGACACCTTCACCCCTGGCCGGCAGCGTGTGGCGATTTGCACGTGCTCCGAGACCGGCCGCCACCTGGCCACGTTCACTCGTGCGCTAGGGTCCAGTCTGTACACCCTCACCACTGCGTCACGCTCCGCCCCTTTGTCTCCCCAGTTACACGCGTCTGCTCAGGTAGCTACCCAGTGTGAGTGTCGCCGGCTGTCGCACGACACTCTCCTGTGGCACCACCGCCTTGGTCACCCCTCCCTACCTCGCCTGCGTAGCATGCACTCTCGCTTCCTGGTCTCTGGTCTTCCCAGGTCTCTGCCTGCCCTCCCTCCCTCGCCTGTGCCGCCCTGCATTCCTTGCGTCAAGGGGCGGCAGCGCGCCGCTCCTCACTCCTCCTCGTTCCCTCCCACAGAGGCTCCCCTGCAGACTCTCCACCTGGACGTGTGGGGCCCAGCCCGCGTCCGTGGACAGGGCCACGAGCGGTACTTCCTGCTGGTTGTCGACGACTACACGCGTTACACCACGGTCTTCCCCTTACAGCGCAAGGGGGATGTCCCTGATGTTTTGATCCCCTGGATCCGCGCTGCTCGTCTCCAGCTCCGCGAGCGGTTCCAGTCGGACTTTCCTGTCCTACGTTTGCACTCTGACAGAGGTGGTGGGTTCTCCTCAGACCTCTTGGCGGCCTTCTGTGCGGAGCACGGCATCCGCTAGACGTTCACGCTTCCGGCCTCTACGCAGCAGAATGGGGTTGCTGAGCGCCGCATTGGCTTGGTCATGGAGGTGCTCGTACCTCCATGATCCATGCGGCTGCCCCCCATTTTCTGTGGCCGTTTGCGGTCCGGTACGCTGCGCATCATCTCAACCTTTGGCCCCGTGTCTCCTTGCCGGAGACCTCGCCCACACTGCTGTGGACGGGGAAGGTTGGCGACGCGTCGCTTTTCCGGGTCTGGGGTGCTCGTGCCTTTGTCCGCGATACCACTGCGGACAAACTCTCCCCTCGCGCCATTCCTTGCGTCTTCCTTGGCTTTGCCCCTGACGCGCCTAGCTGGCAGTTTTACGACCCCGCCTCGCGCCGTGTCTTTGCGTCTCAGGACGTCACCTTTGACGAGTCGGTCCCTTTTTACCGCCTCTTCCCCTACCGCATTGCTCCTCGCCCCCTCCCGCCGCTCTTTCTCGCCCCAGGTCCTCCCCAGGTAGACCCCCTCCCTGCGCCAGGCCCTGCTCCTTCAGGTGTTTCTCAGGTAGACCCTCCCGTCCCTGCGCCTGTTGAGGTCACTGGTGACTCCGGTTCTGCTGGGAGTGGTGCTGTCCCTAGGGGTGCGGAGCTTAGGGGTGCGCATCGTGGGGGTGATGAGCGTGAGGAGCCTGAGGGTGCGGAGCCTGGAGGTGCTCAGCCTGCGCGTGAGGAGCCTGGAGGTCCTGAGCCTGGGGGTGCTGCGTCTGGGGGTGCTGCGCCTGGGGGTGCTGCGTCTGGGGGTGCTGCGCCTCCGTGTGCGGAGCCTGGGGGTGCTGGGTCTGGGGGTGAGTCGCCTGAGGGTTCTGAGACTGCTGTTACGCGGTCTCCTTGGAGTAGCCGTCTTCGTCCGCGTGTGCCTCTCACCTCCCAGCAGCTGCACGACTGGTACGGTCGCCGTCAGCGTCACGCTTCTGCACCTCAGGGCTCTACTGCTGGGGGTTCCTCTGCGGGCGTCACTGGAGCTGGGAGTGGTACTGGTCCTTTGCCTGCTGGAGGTGCTGGTGTCGCTGGTCCCGGAGGTGCTCGTACTAGGGGTACTGGAGCTGCTAGGGCTCGCGGTGGTGTGTCTGAGGGTACTGCTGCTGGTGGCGCTGCGGTTGGAGACCCTGGGACTAGAGGTGCCGGTTCTGGGGGTGCTGCACAGCCGCGGCTGGAGCTGCTGAGGGTGCTGGAGCTGCTGGAGGTACTGGAGCTGCTGAGGGTACTGGAGCTGCTGGAGGCACTGGAGCTGCTGGAGGTACTGGAGCTGCTGAGGGTATTGGACCTGCTGGAGGTGCTGGAGCTGCTGAGGGTGCTGGAGCTGCTGGAGGTGCAGGAGCTGCTGAAGGTGCTGGAGTTGCTGGTGCTGGTGGCACTGCACAGCCGCGCCTGTTCTTTGCTCCGCCGTCTCCGTCGTCTCTGCCACCGCCTGACTCCGTGCTTCGCCAGGTTCTTAGCCTCCCGTCGTCTACTGGTCTTCCGTTACAGCCTGGCTCACCTCTGCCTGCTCCTTCTCCTTACGCTGAGCAGACAGGGGGCCTTACTGAGCGTCGTGAGCCTGCGTCGCGTCCTGTCTCACCTGTCCGTTCTGGTCGTTCCAGTCGTCGTGTTCCTCGTCAGCGTCAGCCGGCTGTCCTCGGCCCTTCCCTTGTATTCCGTCGTCCTTCCTCTCCTCCGCAGAGTGTTCCTCTGCTGTCTCCTCCTACGTCTTCTCTGCCTGTCGTTGCGGACCCTGAGTCTGACCAGTTTCGTACTGAGCACCCTACTGTCACGCGTCTGCTAGCCACTGTTGTCACTGACCCGTCGTTTGAGTCCACTGCTGCGTCTGCCCTAGTCGCTGAGCTTGTCGACTTTGCTGTTGCCTGTCGTCTAGACTACGCTGCTCGTCTTGTTGCTGCGTCTGAGTCTGTCTGTCCTCCGTCCGTCGGGGGTGAGTGTGCTCTTAGCACGGACGTCCTTGAGGACAGGCACGAGGACCTTGAGTGTCTTGCGGTCGCTGCGCCTCATCTCGTGGCCATGCTGCTTGCCCCTGAGGGAGACCCGGATGCACCAGACATCCCCACCCTGCGCTCTTACGCTGAGGCGATCGCGGGTGAGTACTCCTCTCAGTGGCAGACAGCCATGGACGCAGAGATGGCATCCTGGAAGTCCACAGGCACGTACGTCGACGAGGTTCCCCCTCCTGGGGCAAACATCGTCAGTGGCATGTGGATCTTCAGGGTGAAGCGGTCGCCAGGTTCTCCGCCTGTCTTCAAGGCTCGTTACGTTGCTCGAGGTTTCAGTCAGCGAGAGGGAGTTGACTTCTTCCAGACTTTCTCCCCCACCTCGAAGATGACCACTCTTCGGGTGCTGCTGCACGTTGCCGCTCAGCGTGACTACGAGCTTCACTCTCTTGACTTCAGCACAGCTTTCTTATAGGGCAGCCTACACGAGGAGATCTGGCTGTGCCGCCCACCCGGCTTCACTGGGTCGTTCCCTCCTGGTACCCAGTGGAACCTCCGGCGGCCGGTCTACGGTCTCCGCCAGGCGCCACGTGAGTGGCACGACACACTGAGGACGACACTTGCGGCTCTTGGGTTTGCTCCTTCGACTGCTGACCCGTCGCTGTTTCTGCGCACCGACACTTTGCTGCCGCCGTTCTACATCCTCGTGTACGTCGACGACTTGGTCTTTGCCACTGCTGACACTGAGGCTCTAGCCCCGGTGAAGTCGGAGCTGCAGAAGAGACACACGTGCACAGACCTGGGTGGGCTGCGCAGCTACCTTGGCTTGCAGATCACCCGGGACAGAGCACGCCGCACCATCACACTGACTCAGTCACACATGGTGCAGCAGGTCCTTCAGCGCTTCGGCTTCACCTGGTCCTCAGCACAGCACACTCCTCTGGCTATAGGTCACTTGCTCTCAGCTCCACCTTCGGACGAGTCCGTAGAGTCGAGTGGTCCTTACTTAGAGCTAGTGGGCTGCCTCATGTACCTGATGACCTGCACTCGTCCTGACCTTGCGTACCCTCTTGGCCTTCTGGCTCGCTACGTGGCTCCTGGTCGGCACCGAAAGGTGCACATGGATGCTGCTAAGAGGGTACTGCGCTACTTGTGCAGTACATCGGGCATGGGGCTCGTGCTTGGAGGGCGGAGTCCAGTTGTCCTCGCTGGGCACTCAGACGCTTCTTGGGTTGACGACCAGGCTACACAGCGGTCGTCACAGGGTTACACGTTCAGCCTTGGCTCCGGCTCTGTTTCTTGGCGGTCTACACGCTCGTCCTCTGTTCTCAGCTCCAGTTGTGAGGCTGAGATCTACGCCACTGCCATGGCTGCACAGGAGTTACGCTGGCTCACCTACCTGCTGACCGACTTGGGAGAGCGGCCTCGTTCTCCTCCAGTTCTGTACGTAGACAACAAGGCCGCCATTGCCTTGTGTCAGGAGCACAGACTGGAGCACAGAACGAAGCACATCGCTCTGTGTTACTTCCTGGCTCGAGAGTTGCAGCAGCGGGGTCAGCTTCGCCTTGCTTACGTGGCCACTCGGGCCAACACTACTGATATATTCACCAAGGCACTTCCGTCTGGTGACCATCAGCGCTTTTGTACTTTGTTGGGCCTTGTGCCTACGTTTCCACACTTGCTGTAGTCTCTGTTTGTACTGTGATATATATATATACCTGCATGCTTGCTCTTGCTAGCTAGAGACCACTGTGCTGTTCTTGTTGCTTATATACCTCTGCATGTGGACTGGCCTTGTGGCCGTTTGCTTATGCTCAGTGTGTGTGGTGACGTTGTGATCCACCCTGAGCTGTGTTTTGTTTCTTCTCTAGACTGGTCTTGTGACCGTTGCTTGCTCTGGCTATCCCCCATTTCGCCTATGGGGGTGTGTCAA